CGTGCAGCGGGGACGCCCCAGAAGCATAGAATACAATCAGAAAGGTGTGGGAAAGAGCTCTGAAATCATCTAGCCCAGCTGTCCAGCATCGCACGCCACGTCCCTAACCGTGACATCTAAATTAAACACCTCCACAGACGGCGACTCCCGCAGCTCCCCGCACGGCCCGTTGCATTGCCTCACCGCTCTCTTCCGAGCGGAAACCCTAACATCCAACCCGCAAACCCAGCCCAGCAGAACGCGGCCGGAGGGGCGCATCCACGCAGCCGGAGGACACGCATTTACGTGCGGCTCAACCCAACGCCGGCACAAACGAGGGCAGAACCGCAGAGCTGCCGTCCGACGACGGCCAGACATCGCTCCACGCACACGGGAGGCGCCGCTCCGCATCCCCGCGGGCCGCTCGCACGTCCCCCTTCCGAAGCCATCGCGCAGAGACGCGGCCCGGCGCTCAGCTCCCGATCAGCCGGCGGCCCGCAGCCGCTCACCTTGGTCTCCTTGACGTGCTGCTTGATGCCCTCCGGGTACCACTGCACCCTCACGTAGCCCCGCCGCAGCGGACTGGCGCGGCCCTCCTCCGTGCCGCCCGCCCCCGGGCCGCCCGATTCCGAGCCCCCCGAGCTGGCCGCTCCCCCCGCTCCCCGGCCGCCGCCCCCCGGTGCCGCCGTCGCCGTTTCCTCTTCTTCCGAATCGGAGTCTTCGCCATGGATGAGGCGAACCAGGCCGAAACGCACCGAACCGCGGTAACGGCCGGATACCAGGTCGTGGGAGAAGAGGAGGCGCTGCGAACCGCCCGGAGGAGCCGAAGGGGGTAAAGGCAGAGCGGGGGCCGGGGTCGGGGCGGCGGGGAGCTCCGCCATGGCGCCGGGCTGAGCGGGAGAGCGCGCGGCCGCCGGCACGGGATGGGGGAGGGGCGGGGCGGGGCGGGCGGCGCGCATGGAACGTCAGGGGGCGGGGCTTGGCGGGGCCACACCTCGTGCGTAGCGACGCCGTCGAGGCGGGCGTGGCCGCTGATTGGACACGCCCGCGGAGGTGCCACGCCCACCGCGTGGGAGGGGCAGAGCGGAGGGAGGAGGGCAGAGAGGCGGGGCGGTGTTTTCTCTGCTCCGAGACATCACGTCGTTTCCCTTTGTGACCTCCCCGCAGCTGCGCGGGACATCCGGAAAACGCATGGAATCCTCGGTCAGATCGGTTATGTCGTAGAAAAAAATATTAAAAACCCAGGAGCGGTGTTTTCCCCCTTTTCATCCTTTCCAGCAAGGAGCTCGAGCCCCAGCTCAACAAACGGGCTGAGTTTCTCTGACCAGAGCTCCTGGAGGAGAATGGAGGAGCAGCGCTCGGACGTTGTGCACAGCACTGCGCTGTGTCCTCGCAGCTCCACGGACGTGTTTCCAAGCACGGCTATGCTAGCGATGCTTCTCATCATCCCCCCGATGCATGTTGCAACACTGCTAATGAAATATAGATACGGGCAATAGGCACGAACCGGTGCGCAGATGGAACTGTCCCTCTTCATTCTCCGCTCCGGACCCACCGAACCCTTCAGACCCCGTTTCTTTTGGGCCCGGTTCCGGTGCGTGGGGCGCTGCTGCCACCGCGCGGCCGCTGCTCGGGCCGGCAGGGAGGGATGGATGGATGGGTGCCCGGCTTGGGTGCACGGATCCTTGCGGCGAAGCCAGAGGAAGGTGTGAAACAGGAGTGGCAACAGCGCCTTCAAAAGACAAGGCTGCAGGTACCCCAAGCAGCGTGACCGCGGAGCACCGGGACAGCCGGGAGCAAACAGAGGGAACGAGGAGCCGCCGGGCTGCGCCCGTGTCCTCTCTGCAAAGCCCGTCCCGAGGGCGCTGCTCCGAAGATGCTGCTGCACGGCGAGCCTCCGGTGTTGGCCCTCTGCAGCTGGAGCAGCGGACGGAGACTGAGCGGGCTGCTCTCTCTTGCCATGGTGCTGCCTTCGGTTGCTCTGAAATGCCACTTCTGAACAGCAGAAGGTTTTTTTTAATGATTACTTTTGCTGATGCAGAATCACAGAATGGTTTGGTTGGAAGGGAACTCAAGGATCGTGAATCTCCAATGCCCCTGCCACATGCAGGGCCACCAGCCTCCACATTTCATACCAGCCCAGGCTGCCCAGGGCCCCATCCAACCTGGCCTTGAACACCTCCAGGGATGGACGGGGCATCCACAGCCTCTCTGGGCAGCTGTTCCAGCACCTCACCGCTCTCATAGTAAAGAATTTCCCCCTGACATCAATCCTAAATCTTCCTTCCCTCAACTTCAAGCCATTTCCCCTTGTCCTACTGTTATCAACCCTTTCAAACATTCCCCTCCTCTTTGTAGGCTCCCTTTAGGTACTGAAAGGCTGCAATGAGGTCACCCTGCAGCCTTCTTTTCTCCAGGCTGAACAAGCCCAGCTCCCTCAGCCTGTCTTTGTAGTGGAGATGCTCCAGTCCCCTGATCATCTCTGTGGCTCCTCTGGACCCTCTCCAACAGCTCCCTGCCTTGCTTGTACTGGGGGCTCCAAACTTGGACACATACTGCAGATGGGGCCTCACAAGAGCAGAGTAGAGGGGAACAATCACCTCCCTGTCCCTGCTGGCCACCCCTCTTCTGATGGAGCCCAATTGTTCCCTTTCCAGAAGCTCACGCTTGGGATAATCCCCATCTGGTTACACTGGTCACGATAGGGACAAATACAGCTGGCTTCCCTTATCCTGCTCCTCGTGTAACAGCCCCCAGGAGCAGCTGGGGGTGAACACAGAAGGATGCATTGCGTCTTTCCCTGTCCAAGCCCTGCTCTCCCTGCCAGCTCACCCCAAGTACGCAGCAATCATCTAAATCAGCTTTATCCCCCCGCAGGCAGTCATGCCAGGGTAAAGAAATCAGCCTCAGCTGCCTGATGGGATCCTTTGCCTGCTCGTCATCTTAAAGCCTCTCACCTCTCCTCGTCTTTCATCACGGTTATAAACCCCTTAGAACTTCGTCACGTGCTCCATAAATAACAAATATATAAGTGAGGCTCTGCGTGTGGCTGCAGCCCCATCCCTGCTGTCCCACAGCTGTGAGGAGCCGCAGGATCAGGCTGGAGAGGAGCAGCACCAGGTCCCCATCCCCATCCCACAGCCGGTAAGCCCAGCGTTTCTGGGATCTGGTGGTCCTCATGGCCTTGGGGATATCTGGTGGCCCGTGGGTCGCTGTGTTGTTCTGGGCTATGGAGAAATTGCCTCAGAAGGGAGGGAGCTGGGACATCGAGTTTGACTTGCTTTGGATTTTGGAGGTGAGAGCATCTCTGCAGGCCATGCAGATGCTTTGGGCTCTGTAGTGCACAAACACAAAAGGAGGGGACAAATTTACAGCATGTACTTGGCGTGCTAATAGTACACCCTGACATATGGGGATGTGGAAAGGAGCCACAAGCTGCTCCGGAGCTTAATATACCCTGGGGTATAAACAACTATGAAAACATGCAGGAGGCTGTGTTAGAGCGGGGGAGACAGGTTGATGGAGCTGGGAGGAGAAGGGTTTCCTCCTAACTCTGGTTATCCCTCACTGTGCACCCAGCAGCCATCTCAGTGTGCACATTCCCTGCATGCCAAAGACCTTTGCGTGTGCAGGGAGCTGAGGAGCTGAGCAAAAAGCAAAAGCTCATTTCCAAAAAAGAAATACAACTCCACCAGCCCGCTGGCTGCGTGACCTGGGCTGCCAGAAGTGCTGGAGGGGAAAAGATTCAATGAGAAGGAGCTGAGAGCAGGCTGTAGCCCACAGCACTTCTGCTCACGCTGTTGTGTTGGGGTACTGAGAAGTTTCTATAAGCACAGGGGGTGTCTGAGCCACCCCAGCCTGCTGCAGAGCCCTGATGCAATCAGGGGGTGAGCAGATCTGGCAACTGATACCAAGCTGTGAATCCTACAAACATCACAGCACTCCTGTCTCATTTTGCTCCCTTCCCATCCATGGGAGTGTGAAGCACTCATTCCCAGCTCGTGTTGCTTTGTCTTGCACTCACCCCTTGGCAATGAGAACTGGCACAAGGGATGCTAAATATTTCCCTGCCCCTGATAGCCCTTGTGCCCAAAGAGCACATCCACTGCTAACCCAGCAATCCATCGAAAGGGAATCACAGCAACACCCCATCTCACCACTTCCAGCACCCAGCCCTCAGCCTTTCCAGATGGAAAATTCCCAGCTCGCTTTGGCTCTGCCCTGTGCAACGCTTGTGCTGGTAATGCTTTTGTTTCTATAAATCCTATTAGCTGGAGGCAAGCCTATAATTAGCAGGGAAAGCCGGCACCTCTCAAACAATAATCAGAACTGACCTGGCTCCATGCTGGCTTTGCTGTGAATTGCTTTGAATATTGGCTGACTGGTGGCTCCCGCTTGGCTGGGAGCTGCTGCCACTATTCCTGCCCGCAGGCCAGGGCTGCTCGGGTTGCACTTCTCTCTGGGTTTATTAACTTGGTTTGATTGGGCATGAAACATGAGGCGGATTTATGACACAGAACCTGACCCAAGCAGAGGGATCTGGCAGGGATGTGTAGGGTGGGTGGTGATGGATGGGACAGAGCAGCAGAGACAGTTCCATTGCCACGGGACCCATAAGAGCTCTTTGGGCAAGGCTGGGGCTCTGCTTTTCCCTGCAAGGGAACACTAGAGGACTGCTCTCCTGAGCAAGCTTCTACACAAGGATTTACAGAGTCCAATCCCACGTCTGTTCAGCAAGGGCACCCTAACAGCACACCCCTGGACCTCCCAGCCTTTGGAGTGGTTGTGACCACAGGCACTGGAGCAGCTGCAGATGGGCTCATCCTGCCTGCTGGCCTATTTCAGCCAGGTTTTCCAGCGTGGCCATGATTTAAGTGCTTCCCAGGGGCTAAGCCATGTGATTTACCCCCTAAGCAAGCTGGAAAAGCGAACAAAGCCCCCAGCAGCACAAGCATGGCATAGAATCACACAACACCCCGAGGTGGAAGGGACACACGAGGACCATCAAGTGGAAGCCCAAAGCACCACCCAAACCCTACATGTGAGGGCAATATCCCAACACTCCCTGAGCTCTGGCAGCTCAGTGCCATGCTTGCTGCCCCAAGGATCTGCTCCATGCCCAGCTGATGCAGAATCTTTCCCTAATCCCCAACCTGATCCCCTGAAGCAGCTCCAGGCTGGTCATCTCTGGTGCACACACAGCACCGACGTCACCTTCGTGCCCTGGACAGGGACAAGATGCCCAGCCCCAGCTCCATCCCACTGCCCAGACCCCTGGGGCTGGAGGTTGGCTACTTGTGCCAACTCCCAGAGGTGACAGCAGGGTTGCCGTGGGTGGGTATTTGCTGTCTCCATACCCACACACATATATATAGCTAAAGGACAGCAGGTAGCCTAATCCCATGCATGATCAACAGGTATTTTCGACAGCTAAGAGCTCAGGAAGAGATCGGCTGAAATTAAGGGTGCCGTGACACCGCTGGTGCCCAGAGCTGACAGAGCTGCCCTGGATAAAGGCAGCTGGGAGCAGAGCGGGATGCCGGTGCTCAGCACGGTGCCGTTCCTGAAGCCCACCCACCTGCAGGGCCCACGCAATTCTCCCAGCCGCCAGCGCCGGCACACACTGCCTGCCAGTGAGTTCCGCTGCCTCAGCCCCGAGGATGCCGTCAGCGTGTTTGAGATTGAGAGGGAAGGTAAGGGGCTGCCCATCCCCATCCCCATCCCACCTCAGCCCGGTGTCGGAGCTGGGAGCTCAGTGCCATCCCCTTCCAGCCTTCATCTCCGTCTCCGGTGACTGCCCGCTGCACCTGGATGAGATCCGCCATTTCCTGACGCTGTGCCCAGAGCTCTCCCTCGGCTGGTTCGAGGAAGGGCGCCTGGTGGCCTTCATCATCGGCTCCCTCTGGGACCAGGACAGGCTGAGCCAGGTAGGAGCCGGGCTCAGGGTACACGGAGCAGAGCCTCGGGCTGCCCTGCACAACCCTGCTAACGGCCCCGTTCCCTCCCTCCAGGCAGCACTGACCCTACATGAGCCGCGGGGCACAGCAGTGCACATCCACGTGCTGGCCGTGCACCGAACCTTCCGGCAGCAGGGCAAAGGTTCCATCCTGATGTGGAGATACCTGCAGTACCTGCGCTGCCTGCCCTGCGCCCGGCGCGCCGTGCTCATGTGCGAACATTTCCTCGTGCCCTTCTATGAGAAGTGTGGTTTCAAAGCTCTGGGTCCCTGCCAGGTGACAGTGGGCGCGTTGGCCTTCACTGAGATGCAGCACGAGGTGCAGGGCCATGCCTTCATGCGCAGGAACAGCGGCTGCTGAGCCCTGCAGCCCAGCTGCACACCAGCCTCACTGCTGAGGGAAGGATGGGGGGTGAATACTGTGAGCCCTCTCTCCATCCCCACCGTGGCTGCACATCTTTCCCTGCTGGCCCCAGCCACAGCTCCCTGCCCACACATCTGCCTTTTGGCCAAGGGATGAGCGTGGCCCCAGCTCAGCCCTGTGCCTCACTCTCCCAGCGCTGGGGAAAAATCCAGCCTGCAAGCACCGAGCCTGCACCCTCCCCTTCCCCCCTCCTATAGCTGGGGCTGTGCAACCAAAGGATCCATTAGGGATGGAAAGGCCAAGAGCCTCAGCAGAGCCTATAAATCTTGAGCCCCCGGCCCAGGGTCCCCATCCCCAGCACAGCCCAACACCAGGCACGAAGCCAAGCCCTGCTCTGAGCAGCCCTTGCAGCCACTTCTCACCCAAAGGCACTTTTATAGCAGAGCCCCAGGGCCACCCCAAATCGTACAGCCAGGATCCTCCCTGCAGGGTCAGTCCTGCATGCAGACATCACCTGCCCAGAAAGAGCCCTCTGCAAATGCCTTGGTCAGTTGTGAAGCAGCAAATAAAGATGCAGTGATAGTTTTCTACTTGCTTGCCTATCTTTGCCCCCAGCTCCATGCACAGCCCAGACACATCCACTGCTTTTTGGGGTGTCTCAGCTTTAAGTGAAATGGGGCAGATGTGCCCCAGGGTATCTGATGGGGTGATGCTGCCCTTGGGCAAGGAATGGAGGCTCTGTTGGGTCACTGTGCCCTGCTACAGGAGGGGTTTTTAAAGGGGAATTGGGGACAGCATCCCCCTGCAAAGCAGGGACAGCCCTAGTGACTGCTGCCAAACCTCCCATCAAAAGCATGGAGGGAATCGTGGCCTCGTGGATCTCATTAAATACAGGTAGAAATTTATTCAGGGTCAAAAAAATTCCACAGCTTTTTTTTTTTTAAAAAAAAAAAGTATCAAAAAGAGACAACTGAGGTGAGGTGCCAATGTGTGGCTGGAGCAGCACCAGAGGAGCAAGGAATGGGGCTGCAGCCGGCCTGCGGCGGAGCAGGGGGGGCACACGTGGGGCTGAGACTCCAGCACCTGGATTCTTGTTTTGATGGGGGACTTGTGCTGCTCCTGTTAACAGCGCTGTCACACACAGCACAGGGTTACACCCTGAAGGACAAGATGTGACACCATGGGTCCAGAGCAGCAGCAGGAGGGGGTCCTGAGGAGCCAAGCCTTGCCTCACTCTGGGGTTCCAGAAGGACCTGAACAAAACCACTGGAGTGCTTCCTTCTATGCTTACATACCAGCACAGTGCTCCACTTTCAGGGGGAACCTCACCGAGATGAGGGGAAAAAGCAGCACCCTCATCCCACCATGAGGAGAACAGCTTTGCTCCTGAGCCCCTGGGGAGCAAACAGGGGGCTGAAAAATACCTTCAATCCTCAGCTCTGAGAGTGTCAGAGCTGCAAAAAAAACAAAAACAAAAACACACCCAAACCTCCAGAGTCCTCCACTGTGGAAACCACCAGGGTCCCCCCACAGCCCATTCAAGAAAACACCTCCAGCCTCCCAAAATTAAAAATCCCAGGGCTGAGAAGTGCTGGAGGACCCCATCCCACTGGGACGGGTCGGAGAAAGGGATGAACCAGAGCGTGGTCACAGAGCCCCTGTAAGCCCCAGGCAGCCCCGAGGTGATGGATATGGCCAAGAGCCATAGGTACAAAAGTGCCCCTGCAAAAAGGGGGGTTGTGTTCACAGTAGGATTGGCACTGTGGGGCCCGGTTGCTGCCTCACCCCACAAGCTGTCCTGGGGTTAGCAGGGCCTGGAGGCTCTGAGCAGGCCGGCCCCAGCCCCGCAGCCCCTCCGTGGGTCAGTGCAGGACCTGCTCCAGCTCGTACTTCTCACAGAACTTGCTGGTGAAGGGCAGGCAGGTGAGGTACTCGATCCAGCGCCAGTTGATGGGGTAGACATACAGCCAGATGAACAGCGAGGTGAAGAGGCCCAGGAAGACCAGCAGGGACACGATGATCATGGCCCGCTTGCGGTACTTGTCCATCGTGCCGAAGGTGATGTAGGGCAGGAAGGCAAAGGAGAGCAGCAGGCCGCTGAGGAAGCCGAAGAGGTGGGCGATGTTGTCGATCCAGGGCAGGAGGCCGCAGACAAAGAGGAAGAGGACGATGCCAGAGAGGTTGAACAAGGCTTTCCATGGCTTCTCCAGCGCTTGCCAGCTCTGGAAGAGCTCCACGAAGAGGCAAGCCAGCAAACCGAACTGAGACCCAGCAGGGCCCACCTGCAAGAGGTCAGACCCCGCTTACATCACCCACCTGTGTCCCCACGTCCCCAGGGTCTCCCCACATTTGCCATGGGGAGCGCCGGTGCTGCTTTGGCAGAGCCAGGCATCGGGTGCCTCCCACACCCATCCCACACAGCAGGGGGATTAAGGCACTTGATGTGATCCCCTCTAAAGCCTGCCAGCAGATTAGCCATCTGCCAGCCTGCACACACCAACACGTGGGGCACACGGCCCACGTGAGCCACACACATGGGGCACAGACCCCCTCCCCACACACGACACAACCCGCTGAGAGGTGAGACCTCTGTGCTGGGCTCTGCAGCCCCCTCCCCACGAAGCTCAGAGTGGTGATGCTCTGTGCGCACAAGCATGTTTGCTCAGTGCCCAGTCCAGAGCTCATCTTGGGGGTGGGAGCAGAGTTATGGGGAGATCCCCCCAACTTCACAAGCTGCCCTCACCTCTGCCCTGTATGGCAGGAAGATGGTACTGGCCAGATTGCCTGTGATGCCACTGAGGATGAAGATGATGGAGATGCGGTGCCAGCCTGCCAGCTTCTCCAGATCCCGTAGCACCGTCATCTGGAAGGTCACCGACACCAGGCAGTGGATGATGCTGGAGGTGGAGGATCAGCATTAGACTCCTGCCCTACCACAGCCCCTGCCCAGTGCTCCCACCCACTGCTCACAGACACGAGACAGCTCACAAAGCTGTCCCACATTGATGGCATGCATTGCTGTAGCTTGGGAGTGCTCCCCCATCTCCCCTCCCAGCCCATTAGGGACCACAGAGAGCCTGTCCCAAAGGATGCTGCCATCCCAGCCACCCCCCCCCCAGTGCCCACAGCCTGTTGCTCACCCTGCATGCAGGAACAGGGACAGCCACAGGCGGTAGATCTGGTCGGGGACCTCCGGGTTGAGGAAGGGCAGGAGGCCACAGACTTCATCCAGGCAGTGCACCTGGCAAGGCAGACGTGGGTGGGAGGTGATGGGGTGGCAGCCCATCCTGCTGATGCCAGCATAGTGATGCCCAGCCAGGCTGCTCACCCCAAGCCCCCTGCGTTCACCCCACAGCCCCTCACCTGTGAGCAGAGCGTTGCCTCCTCGTGGAAGTAGCCATGCATGAACTCGCAGTACTCCCGCGTTGTGATCTCACAGCTGGGCAGAAAGCAAGCAATGGGCTCACCTGAGACAGGGTGCACCCCCTGCTCCAAGCACCCCCAGTGCATGGTCCTGCTGTCACTGCATGTCCCACCCTCAACCCCAGGGCCTCCCTTTATCCCTGGCACAACTCAGGACATCAGTGGGGGGCACTGAGGAGCACCAGAAGGGCTCAGGGAACACTGCCCAACCTGCCCCAGGCTTGGTGCCCGCTGGCTGTATCTCACCTGCCCTTGGTGCCGATGCAGCAGGGCCTGCCCTTGATCTGGCAGTCCATGTGAGGGAGGCCTGTGTGGTTGGTTTTGGTCTCGTAGGTGCAGATCTATGAGAAGAGAAAGGAGCTGCAGTAGGAGGGCTGCTAAGAGCCTCCTACAGCCCCACACCGTGCTTGAGGCTGTCCACCTCCCATAGAGGCTGTGTTGGTGTGGATGGTGGGCACCTCACTAAGGGCTCTTACCGGCCACCTGGTGATGTCATCTGGCCACACGTGGGGGGGATTTGAGGCCGGTTCTTCACACGTCCTGGTGACAGAAGGAATATGCAGGGGTCACTGAGAGTCTCCCCAAGCACAAACCTGCCACCAGCCTGTGGCCAGGCACAGGACAAGGGACCTGCTGCCACCCCCCTAAGGTTCCCAGACTCAGGGAGATCCTTGCATGCTCAATATCCTACAGTGAAACGCACTGCAGCCATATCACCCATCTGGTAACTTCACCGAGTGTCCCCTTGAGATGTCACATGTCCCTGCTTATCTCAGGGATAGGGGCAGGCAGGGCCAAGCTCAGGACAGCAATGCTCCTCAGGTAGCTTTCTGGCCCATCCACCACACTTAGAACAGAGCTCACCTCCATTTCCCCACCAATTCTTTCTTCCTCATCACCGCCCCATGGCACGAAAAAGCCACCAACCCCTCAGCCAAATCAACTGCAGGCATTCAAGCTGCAAACCCAGCCCCACACAACCCACCTGGGGTCCTGGTGACACACAGCCCCCGACGTGCGCTTCTCACCGGAGCCCATGGTCGGCGTGTTGTTGTTGGGCCACTTGATGAACGTCGCCAGCGTTTCCTGCAGGGATGGAGATGCTCAGAGCGTGGACATGCAGGAACCACTCCACCCCACGTGCATCCCATGCCCCAGCCATGCCCGCACCGAGCAGTCCTGCGGCAGTGTTTGGATGCAGCCTGATTTGTCATTCTGGACGCAGCAGCCAGAGTTCCGCTCCCGGTCCCGTTCGCGTTGGATGAGCCGCTCCACCTGGCGGTCCTTCCGGATGCAGGGTGAGAATTTGGCTCCCAGATGGATCAGGTCGATCTAAAAAGAGGGAGTGCTCTGAGGGATGCTCCAGGTCGCATCTCATCCCCACCTCCCTTCCCAAATGCTGCCCTACTGATGAGATCCCACCCAAATGGATGGAGGGTGGGCAGGGGACAGGCTCTCTCCCAAGCATCCCACTGTAATGCTTTGGTTCTGGAGAATGCAGACAGGAGGAGCTCATAGAGGGAACCAAACAGCAGGATGGCAGGTTGGGACTAGGATTAGTGCCATGTAGCTATAGGAGAGGAGAAGGGACCACCCCTTAAACCCCACCTCTGGCTGGCAAATTGCTTACTGAACTGGGCCCGATCCAGAAGTTCTCCTGCTGGATGTACTTGACACTTTCATACACACCTTTGTTCCTCAGCACCTGCAGAATGAGACCAGGGTCACACAGCCAGCTGGGGGGGGCAGCACAGTTCCATAGTGCCATATCCCCTCCAACCACCTGCAGGGGCTGAGCCCTTTCGTCCCCAGGGGGCTGCATTCCTCACTCCAACAGGATTACCCCCACTATGTACTTGAGAACAACATTCAGGAGTCAGGCCCCCAGGAGGGCACAGCTGGGAGCTCTTAAACTTACTAACTCTGTCGTCACGTGCTGGGTGAAGCCAATGGGAGCAATGCCATACGTGCCAATGACCAGCAAGGTGATGAGGATGTGGACAAAGGTGATCCAGTAGGTGAAATATGGCCTGGGGAGCAAAGGGAACAGGGTCACGGCTCCCTGTTGGCACAAGGATGCTGTAGTAACCTGGGCAGAGCAGCCCGTTCTGATAGGGACGCAAATCCAAATTGCACCTGGGGAGCCCCAGGGAGCAGGGCTGACCCTGGTGGGCTGCAAGCTGTGCCCTCACCGGTGGCTGTCGGTGATCTCCAGCTGTGACTGCACGATGCTGCTGAGGCTGCGGCGGTACGTCCTGTTCAGACACTGCCCCACCACCCCCAGTCCATAGTAGCGTTTCTTGCGGTCGAAGGCAAAGTGCTTCACTTTGGAAGCGATGCGTCTGCCCCTCTGGGGGGCAGGGCCAACTGAGGCAGCAGCGAGACGGGCACCCTCACGTCTGCAGGGAGAGAAACCCATCAGCGAGGTAACAGCCCATAGGCAGCCCCACACATCCTGAGAACAGCTGGGGAAATTTCTTGGCTTTGTCCTTGTAGCAGCATGCTGGATATGCTGCTCCCTACAGCAGGGACTGGTGGACATGGTATTGTCTGGGGGGAGGTCAGGACAGGGGGCTTGGGGTTGGCACTCACAGTGCAGTCTGTTCCACCTCTGGGGATGCCCTGACATCCTCCCCCACTGAATGCATGCGTAAATACGTGGCTGAAAGCGGTGGTGACTCGAAGACGTCATCTGGCATGGAATAGGTCTCGTCGTGTGTGTCCATCTGGAAGGAGCATGGAAGGGAGGGGGACCACAACGTCATCCCAATGAGCACACACTACAGCCCACGTGAAGTGCCTATGATCCCATCACCAGCGATTATCACCAAGTCTTTGCAGTGCTGGACACAACACCCACTGATGCCCTTGGAGCAGGGCTAAAGCACAGACACCAGACGCCCTTGGCACATGCAGCTCCAAAGACAGCCCAAACCTCATCTGGGTAAGAGACCAACCCTGGACCATGCTAAGAGCAAAGGAGATGGGACAAACAGGGCTCTCAGTGAGCCACTGTCCCAGTCAGAACGCTGCTCAGCCCCACGTGGGGCACTGGGACCCCCCCACTTCAGCAGTCAGTGTGGAACAGTGCTTGCCTTACTGAAGAAGGAGGAGTCCAGTGTGTCAGCGATGTCCACCACATCCTCATCCATGAAGCTGGGGTACATGAAGCTCCTCTTGGTGCTCCTCTGCTTCTCAGCCAGAGGCTCTAACACAGAGCGGCCCTACGGCAGGGGAAGCAAATGAGGGTAAGGAACACAAAACCTCAGCGCTGCAGAAAGTAGGGGGGCTTTGTCATAGCCACCCCCAAAGCCCAGCAGGTGGTGGCAAACATTAAATGCCAACCATGGCCCTGTGCAGAGGTCACGCAGCTGCCTGTTGCTCCTGAGAGCCATCAGTGCTGGGCCATGGCTGTGACAGGTGGCACAATTCTAAATCTCCTTTTTGGTCTCTGCCCCACATCTCCTTGGAGACCCATCTCCAAGGCTTGCAGGGGACTCCCCAGGTGACAGAAAGTGCCAGAGAAACTTCCCCTGCAGCAAAAGGTTGCTGGCTTGACACAAAGGCTGCTATTTTCGAGGGATGGCGTGCGAGACAGTTCCACTTCCTGGTCCAGTTTCCACCAGAACTTCTCTTTTTAAGGTTAAAACCCACCACCTCCCCCTCCCAACAAGCAGCGGAGTGCAACAACCGTCGCTGTGCAAAGCAAAAAGCCAAGAAACCAAGACAGCAGAGGGCTGAGAACTGAATCAAGAGGACGATCCCTTTCCCCAACGCTCACACGGAGCAGCGCGGCGGCCGCCCTGAAGCTCATGTGTGCCACAGAAAGCCTCTTGCGGCGCGGCAGGCGGCTGTAACCAGAGCGGGCACTGCCCAGGGATGCCAGCGATGCAACGCCAGGGGTGTGCGGGGGCAGGACGTGGTGGGGTGTATGGGGACGGTCGGTGTCATCGGGGTGGCGGAAGGGACGGCCCCTGGCCAGAGGGTCCACGATCTGGAAGAAGAAGAGGTGCGTTGGTGATGGTTATGGGGAAGGGTTGGTTGGTGAGCGGTCCCCGTGCCCCGAGCTGTACCTTGGGCATCTTGGCCGGTTTGGGTGACTCGGTGCCTTGGAAGGAGGGCACCTCCTGGCTGGGCAGCTCCATGTCGCGATAGGCAGCCTTCAGTTTGCCGTATCTCATGCTGCAGTGCTGCAAGCTTCGGCGCTGCCAGTGCTGCCGCTTCCCCTCCCAGTCGCCGCTGACGCCAAACCATTCCGCCGTGCCCCTGGGTGTGTGATGGATGCGCTCCAGCACCCGCTCAGCCCCCCGGTGTCACCGTCCCACCCTGCCCTCTAACTGGGGATTGGAGCTCAGTGGCTCAGCACGGTTCTGAGCTGACAGATCTGCAGGATGGGGCAGATGAGCTGCTGCTCCGCTAGCTGAGATACCCTATATCAGGATGCACACAACTCGAGGCATTTGCTCCTACAGCTCCAAGACATTTTCACAACCAATCCTACCACGTGCTTATCCAACAGCTGAGCCACGTGGCACCCATCGAGGCTTTCCCTTGGGCTGGTACCCACATCCCTGCCATGGACACCCCCCAGGCCCTCACTTGCGGATGCTCTGGGACAGAGATGTCTGTCGGCGGAAGCCCGGCCGCCGCTCTGAGCTCTCATATCCCTTCGAGCGTGGCTCCTGCAGGCTCTTGCTCTTCCGATAGATGGGCACCTTGGAGGGCTGGGAGGCAGAGCACAGGGTTACAGAGCACAGAGGATAACAACGGATATACCAAACCCCACTTGGGACGGAGAGGTGCCTCCCAGAGCTCACCTCCTTGTGGGTGCCATCTTCCTCCGCCTCCCGGGGCGGGGGGATCACGATGGAGAGGTTGGGGGGCTTCTTGCTCTGCAGGCGGCTGCTGCTGGAGCGGCTGCTCCCATTCTTGTTGCTGGATGCCATCTTGAGTGGGTGGCAGGCTGTGGGGGGAGCAGGGAGAGAGTGGAGGAAGGCAGCCACAGCCCTATTGCTGCATCCCTTCCTCCTGTTCTCTGCAGGGTGAGTGCATTGGTGTGGAAATGGCAGCAGGAGCATTAATGTTAATGGGACTCTGCCTGAGGGGAACTCCAGAGGGAAGGGAAATGCTGCAAGCACTTCCCCCCTCACTGGGAGGGATGCGCATCACTCTCCTCTGATGGTTTACAGCTACCTGGGAGCCCCCACAGAGCAGCACTGAGGCATCCCAGACAAGAGGACAGCCTCAAGGCTGCTTCCCCAGCACCTCTTGGCCATAGCATCAGCACAGTACCCATGGGACTGGGCACGCAAAACATTCCCCTCATGCACGTGCTGGGCTCTGGGCCAGCAGGACAAGGCAAAGCACACCAAAATCCTCCCAGTGCACAGAGCAGGGGCTTAACAGCCAGGAGCTAAATCTTCAGGCAACCCCTTCGTGAGAGTCCCCCTGCAGCCCTGCAACACCAGGCAGAGCCTCATGAGTCAACAGGGAAAGGTAATTCCATCTGAGCACAAGGGAGCAGTCCTAAATCCTATTAGGGACTGGGGGGCTCCTGCTGGGATGGATGCTCAGCCCCTTGGCCTCTCGCCATCTATGTGCCAGCACCAAGGGCACCTGCCCAGGGCTCCCCTTGCCCTCCTTGGTGTGGCCGACAGATGCCACAGTCCTGCTTAGGGGCAGCCAGAGGCAGCAGAATCTATGGCAAGGCACCCTGGAATACCACTGTGCCCTGCTCTGCTCCCTTTGGCTGCTCCTCCCCACCACTGGCCTTAGGAGCTTGGTGTCCCATGGGATGAGTTCCTTGAGGACATTGGCACTAGAGGGCAGCCACTACCCAGCACAGCCCAGTGCTCCAGCCCAAACATGCAGGGCTTAAACCAAGCTCTGCTGTCCCATAGAAAAGGGCAAAGGGCTTAGAGGGCTCCCTTTCCCCAGTTAACCCCACTCCCCACCAGCCTCAATGAGGCTGCAAAGGGTAATTGATGAAGAGAATCTGGATGGGAAGAAGAGAGGCACCACTGCCACAAATGTGATTAGAATCAGATGTTTGAAGCCCCCATCTCAGAGCCTATCTGGGATGCCCCTACCTCATAAGAGTGGCAGGGATCCCACGCAGTGCGTCTCACAGGGGTCCTTCTTCCTTCTCCTCTGTCCTTCACGCATGGCAGCCCCAGGGCATGGCTGAGGTTCTCTTGCTCTGCCTGGTGGGGTTGATGCTGCAAGAGAAAAGCAGGGGTGAGAGATCAGTTCCAGCCTGCAGAAACCTTCCTGGGAGAAGCTTTGGGGACAGGGCTGTGAAAGGGAGCAGAAGCGTCAGAGTAAGGGCAGAGCCATCCAAAAACATCAGGGCAGGATGCTGGGACAAAGCCACAAAGCCACACCACTGCATGGCTCTGGACAGCCACAGGACATGGGGGATCATGCTGCAGTCACTGGCACAGGGTGAGGGAAAGCCACTGCACCTGGCGCCTTGGCTGAGACAACACAGGGCTGAAGGGGAATTTTTTCACCCAAAGCTCTCAACAGAGTGAGAAAAGAGCAGAAAAGAAACACAAGTGCTGTGCAGAGGTATTTGATGACTGCTGAGCTGGGAAGGCGCCAGCCAGGCGGTCCGGCCCCACCAAGTGAAACTTTCCATCTCACTGGGGAACTGCAGATGCTGTTTGTTTTCCTCCCAGGGCAGCCAGCAATGAGGCAGAGGTGCCAGCTGCAGGCAGGGCTGGCTCTGGGGAGCCTGAAGAGATGGGGGCAGGGACATGTTGGGCACGGGGACACACAGCTGTGGGTGCTGCTGTGACCACCAGCATCCCTCATGCTGCCCCTGCCACGGATGCACTCAGCACAGCAAGCAGCACACATGGGAAACTAGAGGAAAACTTGGTGATGTGAAAGGAGCAGTGCTGTTTGGGCCCTTGATCCCATCACTAATTGCTCCATCAGACTCCCACACAGCTCCAGGTGAGAACCTTAATGCTCTCCGGGGAAGCACATTTGCAATGCACCCAACCAGCTGAGTGCCCTCCCACGCAGCAGCGTGGGAGCAGCAGTTGGGCAGCTGTACCCCATCAGGCACCTGCAGGCCTCATCATGTGGCCAGAGCACTTTTCACGGCTCCTTGAATTAATGCAATGCTTGGCATCCAGAGAGCAGGAAGAGGGGAGCAGCCCCCGCCAGCTAAGTCCCCTGGGTTAGCCAGGCACAGGGCTGGGCAGCATCCATCCCACGAGGTGTGGGAAGTTTCACCCCACGCCAGCAAAAAGCCTCTGGGATGGGGCTGGGAATGCATTTATCCGTTTCCCTGCACACTTGGCACTGGCATGTGGCCCTTCAAGCGCTGGCACAGCTCTCACTCAGTGTGCTCAGCGTGAGAACAGGCAGCCTGAGCCCGAAGCAAGCTGCAAGGAGCTGCAGCCACGGCCAGCACAGCCCTTCACCCTCCAAAGCACGGCACAGAGGGGTTTGTCAGCGCTGAGGGGCCCTGTCTTGCTCACCCATGTGCCCCCATGGGGGCCAAGCAGTAGAATTTTGCCTTCACCCAGCCAAGGGCTGGGGCTCTGGGCTGAGCCACGAGAGATGCTGACCCAAGGAAACACACCCAGAGAGGAAAGTGGTGGAAAAAGTGACGCAGCTCACACATGGCATCAGCACAGGGCGATGCCAGGATGCTCTGAGCAAGGAACCAGAGCAAAGGGACTGGCAGCAGTACCACGCACCAAGCCACAGAGCCCCCATACGAGACACTGCAGACACCTCTCTGAGGCAGCCCTGCAAAGAGCCGATCCATTAGCAGAGCACCACAACACCAGCATGCCCATAAATGATTCAGGAGCGCACTGAAGCTGCCCATCAGCACTGGAGCCTTTATGCTCTTGGTTGTACTGCGATATAGAGCTGCCTTTGCCTTGCCAAGCAAACCTCTTCAACCTGCCCAGCACCTCCATGGACACCCCAAGAGTGTCAGCCCAAGCCTAAAACCCAAAGCTAAAACCTTACTGAGAGCAGGAGCCTGACAGGTTCCCTGGGTGCGCAATTGGGAAACTCTGCTCACTTTCCTTCTGCCTATTCCCACAGCAAGCAGGACGTTGGGCAACTGCTGCGTGGTTTGTTCATCCCGGATGAGTTTCAGGCACTCGGCACACCCTGGAAGGAAGCAAAACCACGCGGCCGAGATAGAGGCAGCCAACCCACGGAGTGTGCTGGTGGCTGTGATAACGCTGAGCCAGGCTTTCCTCCTCCCCTCCCATTTGCACACAGCTCAGGCATTGGGTAAGGAGGCGAAGGCAGATGGGCAGCATTGCTGTGCACTGGGGCACCTTCCCTTGGCGCATCCCTATAAATGCACAGACCCCTCATCAGGACCACCTCCTCCCCACAGCAATGCTCCCAGGAGCCGTGTTTCTCCAGGCTTCCTGAGCCACTATCTGCACGGAAAGGGAAGGACTCGCCCACAATAGCTGGATGGGGATCTTCCCAGCCCATTTCCCAAGGCCTGTGCACATTCATTCCCAGCACGTCCCCCTCTGCCCAAGGAGCTGACACCCAAACACCCCCCACCCCACCACAAAAGGACTCTGCTCTTTGTGAGCCCATCTGCAGCTCCACGTCCTCCCTGTACACGCACCCCAACACCACGTGCAGCACAGATTCCCCAAGCTGCTGGGCTTCATTAACCCAGCTCAAGCCGCACAGTTCTTCAGAGCTTCCCCAATTCCCAGTTGGGCTCTGGGTCCCCCTGTGCAGGGTATGGCTCTGCAGAGCAGGGAGCACCAGGGGCTGTCCCCCAGCTCGCTCTCACTTCCCCAGATGCAAAATTCTTTGGGCAAGGGCAGACGTTCATTCCTCCACATCTGCAAAATGCTGCTGCTTTGAGAGCTGCTCTTGGAAAGAGCACACAGCCAAGGTCTGCAAAGTCCCTCAGCGCTCTGCTCCTGTGAGAAACACCTTGGGGGCATCTCTGTGTTCGCTGGGGATTTCTCCTGAGCTCAGAGCATCACCATGGGATGCTGCAGCAGGAGGCGATGCTCTGCCCTGCGCAGAAATTCCACTCACCCCATGCATGAGATGACTGTGGGTGTTCAGTGCAGCCCTCACCACGGCCAAACAGCGAGGAGAGCTGCTTGGCCCCAGGCTTGTATCTCCTGGAGCAGAATGCTTATCTGCACACAGCCACCCCCAGCCTTGTGTCACTGTCCCACCACTGCACGCACACCCACCCCTCCTCCAAAGCAACAGCCGGTTCTGCAGCCTCATCATCCATCCCAAATTCCACCCAGGAAGGTTTATCCCACTCCTCCCCAATGCAAGACCTGCATTCCCCACAGGAAAGCCCAGCTGGGAGCGGTCCACCCTGTCCCACACATCCCATCCAACGCAGCACGAGCAGAGCACACAGCACCCAAACTCAGCAACACCACACGATGCTGTGCCCCAACCCCAGCCCCACTCCCTGCTACGAGCTGCCAAGCCCTTCCCAGGCCCAGCACCCCTCCTGCACATCCTAGCAGCGTGCCAGGAGCACACTCTGCAGCCTCTCGGGTGCCAAGAGCCGTTGCCTTCCTCCTCAAGCTGGTGTGGTCCCAGCACTCACTTACCCATCCCTCCCTCCCCAGGGAGGCTTTGCCATTCATTCCCATCTCCCTGCTGGCACACAGGCTGCACCCACAGGGCCCCCACCTGCAGCACGCTCACTCCCAGCCCTCCCCCCAGCTCCAGCATTCCCACAGCCAACGAATTACAGGGATAACCCAGCCAAATCCCCAGCACAAGCTGCTGCATGACGCAGGGCGGCACCTCGGAGCTGGGCAGCATGAATGCATGGACACAGCCCTGCCCCGAGCTGCTCAGCACTGGGGACGTGATGGCACCATCTATGTGCAAACCCACAGCTCCCAGCCAACCTGCTGTCTCTTAGTAGGTAGGGCAGCCCCTGGCATGGGGTCAAGGATGGAGCTGAGGCTTGCTCAGCCCACTCGCCCCATGCACACACATCAATGCGGCCCCATGCTCAGCATGTGGCTTTGCACCCACGCCTGCCCCACGGATGTGGCATTTTGCAGGTGGGGAAACACGAGGCAACGTGTTAAAATGAGCTGCCCGCTCACAGACATGGAAATCTCAGAGCAAAGTGAGGGCAGCGAGATGTGGGCAGGCAGCAGAGGAGGTGTTGGGACACTCCACACAAAGGCTGAGCCCTCGGCCCTGCTACATTGTAATTATGTGAGAAATAGAAACATAGAATGGCTGGGGTTGGAAGGGACCTCAAGGATGATGAATCTCCAACCTCCCCTACTGCATGCAGGGCCACCAACCTCCACATTTCATACCAGCCCAGGCTGCCCAGGGCCCCATCCAACCTGGCCCTGAACACCTCCAGGGATGGACGGGGCATCCACAGCCTCTCTGGGCAGCTGTTCCAGCACCTCACCACTCTCATAATAAAGAATTTCCCCCTGACATCCAACCTAAATCTTCCCTCCTTCAACTTCAAACCATTTCCCCTCGTCCTGCAGTTATCAACCCTTTCAAAGAGTTGATTCCCCTCCTGTTTATAGGCTCCCTTTAGGGACTGGAAGGACCTAGAGTGAGAATGGCAAGGCTTTGCATGATACTTGCAAGAAAAAGCACAGCTCCCAGCACTACTCAAAGGCTGGGGAAAAGATGGTAACACCAAACGGTCCCCAATGACCCTGGCTTTCAACACCACTCTGCTGGACACCCCCAGGCCCAACGACCATTAGACAAAAGCTTTTCCAACAGCAACGAGTTATGATCCCATCATTCGTGGGCTGTATGGATTTAAGAGAAGTAATGTGGTCTCAGCCTTCAGTAACTCACTCCCATTGTGCAAACCCCCTGCAGCACAAAGCCCACCCTTGGAGAAAACACAAAGGAAGAACGGGGCTGCAGGGACATCCATCCCATTGCAGCGGGTGCAGGTGGGGTTGGCTCCAGCTCTGTTTGCACGAGAGAAATTCTGAGGGTTTTTGCTGAGCAAAGTGAGGTCCCCTCACTGCTCCCCACCTCCTCCTTCAGCCCCCAGTGTGGATTTGGAGCCAAACACCTCCAGTGTTATTTCCCAAGGGAAGGATGCAAGTGAGGCTTCCTTGAGTTTACTCCGAGTTAAACAGGAGTGACATCAAAGGTAAAAAAAAAACCAACAAAACCAACCAGCAGCCCTCAGCCAGAGGACAGCCACGTGCTGCTGCTCACCCTTCGATCTGCTGCAGCCAAACAATGTGACCCAATTCAATGGGAATTCCCCCACTCCTCCAGCCCATCCCCAGGAGCTTCAGCCCCATACCCCTATGGGATTTAGGACCTGGTCCCACAGCACACACACCCATTGTTCCCCAGCTCCCTGCTTGCATGCGTGCCTGAAAGCCATGCCCCCACAGCCCTGTGCCCATCACAACACAGCTATTTTGGCATCACCCCCCAACCCACGCTGTGGTTTTAACCCTCATCCACCCCACAGCTCGAGCACCCCTGGGTGCAGCTCCCACTACAGCTACCTCTGCTCTGCAGGAGCACAGCAGCAGCACTGGGGGGTCCCAAAGCATTTGTGGCAAAGGGACCCCAAAAACCACAAAGTGCTCTTGGCAGAAAGGTCCCAACGGACCTCCAAGCAATCGTGGCCAAAGGGGTCCCCAACCAAGGGGGTCCCAACAGACCCCAACACATTTGTGGCCAAGGGTTGTAAAGCATCCCAAAGCATCCGTGTTAAAAGGGTTCCCAAAGTGCTTATGGCAAAGGGACCCAAAGGACCCCAAAGCACCTGTGGCAAAGGGACCCAAAGAGCCGCAGAGCATTTGTGGGTCGGAGGAGCAAAGCGTCCCCATACGATCGCACAGCACACGTGGCCGGGGGTCCCATAAAGCGTTACAGAAGACCCCAAGGACCCCGATTTCCCCCCTCCCCCGGAGCTCAGCGGGAATTCCCGGCGGTGCCCGACGGTGACGCCGCGGGGCCGGGACTTCCTCCTCCCGCCGGGACCGGAGGCCACAAAGCGCCCTCTGAGGTCCCCGGGCGCTGCCGAACCCAAATCGCGGTAACAGCGCTGGGTGCCCCGCAGCACCGAGCCCGGCACGCGGCGCTCCGGGGAACTTCGGGACCCTCCGACGGAACGCTTCGGGATCCTTCGGCCACGCGGAGCGGGGAAGGAAGGCGACGGGAGACAAAGCGGGGAAGGGGGGGACAAAGTAAAGCAAAGCGGCGACAACAACAGCAGCCCTCCGCCCGGCCCGGTAACACAGCGCGCTCACCTCGCCGCATCCACGCCCCGCTCCCACCGCCGGCACCGGCGCCGCCGCCTCCACCTGGGCCGGGCGGGACGGGGCGGGGCGGGGCCTCGGTGGTGGGCGGGGCTTCGGTGAAGGGGCGGGGCGCTTGGTGGGCGTGGTTTGAGAGGGGGCGTGGTCTCGCATAGGACCCGCCCCCTAGAGCGCCCCGCCTGGTGCTACACGTGCGTGCTCCCATATGTGGGTGCTCCCAGTGCCATATGTGGGTGCTCGCAGTGACACTCATTGGTGCTGCTGCTGTCCTAGCAGGGTGCTCCTTGTACCATCACATGGGTGCCCCCAGTGCCATACATGGGTGCTCCTAGTGACATTTATTGCTTCTTCCTGTGCCATATATGGGTGCTCCTAGTGACATTTATTAGTGCTCCCAGTCCCATACATGAGTGCTCCCACTGCGAGGTATGTGTGCGCGCGGTGCTATACATGGGTGCTCCCTGTACCATACACGGGTCCTCCCCGTGCCATACATGGGTGCTCCCAATGCCGTGTGAGTGGTTCCAGTGCCATCCATGGATGCTCCTGGTGCTGCATGTGGCTGCTCCCAGTGCTGTACGTGAGTGCTCTCTGCTGGCTACTCACGGAGCTCTCCCCACCCCCCTCCCCAGCTGCTGCTGGTGCTCACAAGTTCTGAGTCCCTACAACAATGGAACCAAGCACTGTAAGCCCACTGGGGGAGGTTTGGGTTTTAAGCACTAAAAGGCTCTCCAGGGAGCACCAGAGCCGTGTGCTGTGTGGTGCAACTCAGGGCCAAATTCAACACAGGGCACTCACAGGCATGGCTGCTGTGCAGACAGAGGGCACCCACTGCTCACAACCAGCTGTGAAGCTGAAAACCTTCCCTACCACAGCTGCCACACTGGGGTTCCCTGCTCCCTGTCCCACCAAGACCCCTCAGTCCTCCCCTGGGTACCCCCAGCCCTACTGCTGGGAGCTTGGCAGACACACTGCAGGTCTGGGCACATCCTGCTGGCTGGACTGGATTTGGGGTGACACATTCTCGAGGTTGGAGCTGTGTGGAGCTGCAGAGCCAATCACATGTGCTGCACAGGGTGACTTGGCCAGAAAGGGATGGCGGTGAATTCCACGGGGAAACACCTCTGCTTCTATGGTCCTTTACACTGGGAAACCAGCTCCAAGCTGAGATTCATCCCACTCATACTGATAAGCTTTGTGGTGCTGAGACATTTGCAGTTTGCTTTTGGCATGCCTGCACTGCCGAAGCTTCTATATAGGAATGGGTTTTGCCATAACATAAACTCTTGTTTCACACCTTGCAGCCCCATCCCCTGCACCCCCAGCAGCCTCCTCCCAGCACTGAGTCCCTGCCCTTTTCTGAGAGCTTCTCATGTGTCGCATCCTACAGAAGTGAGGCTCCAAGCCAGCCCTCCCCTTGGCACCTTCACGTCAGTGAGATCAGCCATCAAATCTGTTCTTGGTAGAAATGAGGGTGGAAAAAGCTTTGGGTTCCACCCAGCTGCTTGGAAGCTGTGGTTGGAGGTGGGTGGAGCAAGGCAGAGCCAGGTGCCTGTGTCAATGGGGTGACAATGAGGAGAGGTGAGGTGGGGGTGTCCCTGGCACTAACCTGCCTGGGATGGGCTGCAAGCTGGGGCAAGAAGGAGGAGAGCAGGGACCTGTGCCAAGGTGCCAGGCACCGACATCTCCCTGTGCCTGAGAGGGGACTTTGGAAGCAGCCAGACCTGTCCTCTGCCTTGTGTCACCCTCACAGCCCCTTCTGCACTTTGGTCTGCAAAGTCTGTTGGAAAAATGTCCGTGTTGGGACAGGGGATGCATCCTTCCCTGGGGGAGGGCTGTGCTGAGGCTCAGGAAGGGAGAAGCCATGAGGGTCACCCCTGTGAACTCAGCAGAGCGTTGGGCAATAAGGAAGCAAACTAAATGACCGAAAAAAAACCCCAAGGGAGCAATGTCACAGCATTGCACCAGTGTGCCTGGGTGCTATGCACTGTGAGTCACCTGCGGCCAGGCAGTGTGCCCAGGCTGGATTGTCCCCAAAGGGCTGCAGGAGGGGACACGTTGCTGTGCACCTCATGCTGGGGCCAGGAGATGTGCTGAGGCTGTTTGCAGCTGCTTATCCGAGAGCTCTCAGCTGGGTGTGGAGCTCCTGGGCACAACCCATGTGTTTGAAATCCACCTGTCCCATTGCCATCTGCATGACACAGTGCCACCAGCGTGGCCCAGTACCACCAGCATGGCCCGGTGCCACCCGCACAGCCTGCAGCTCGCTGCCTGCAGCGCTGCCATTCCCAGCACGAACAGCAGAGGCCAGGCCACAATCGCTGCAGGCACTGATGCTGTTCCCTGCAGCAGCAGCAGAGGATGCTCGGCCTCTCCCACCGCCCAGCAGCTGCTTGGCACTTGTGTCCATCCCATACAGACGTGTGTCCCATACGAGTGCCAAGCGTGGTGGCACAGCTGTCACCCCCCAGCCCATGCAGGATGTGTTGTCACAGTGAGCTGACATCCCCCAGAGAGCCCACCCCCACGTTCCTCCCATCTGTACCCCCTTCACTGCTGCTTCCTCCTCCATCAGCCTGCGGTGGGAAAGCACTCGGAAATCAGACATCAAATGCAACGGCAGAAAGGCTGGTGGGAGTTTCCCCTTTGGGTTTTCCTCCTCTTTTATTGCTTTCCCAAAGAACAAACCTATGGGAAGGCGCAGGGGCTGCTCCCTTGGTGCCTGTCACAGGGCCATGTGCTGACCGTGGGGGTTTCTTTCCCCTGCAAATGGCTCTGATAAGGCTGGAAATAGCTTGGCAGTGCAGGGAGGCTCTGCCTGGTGCCTGCTATGATGGGATGGCGCAGGGAGGAGGAAGAATTGCAGCAGGCACACACAACAGCACATCTTTGCTGATCTTTGAGGAGCAGCACTCCTCGCCTGCTGCTATTTACCTGCCTTCCCATGGCTCCTCCTGCACAGCCCGACCTCGACTGGTGCTGGCATCCCCGCTCCGTGCCTCAGATCGAGTGAATGGTTTTGCACTATTGCTTAGAAAACATCCCTCAATCAAATCCCTGTGCTGTCCTGCTTGAATACAGAAACACTGCTGTGCAGCAGAGCCGATGGTTATTTTATTTGAGGATCTGTTTGGATGATCAGCCTCGAAGCTGCCTGAACACACAAACAGCATCTGCCAGGTGGTCCTCTGAAGCTTTGCCTTAAAGCAAATAGACAGCCAATTTTTTATTAAAAAAAAAAAAAAAAAAAGGATTCATAATAAACATTAATAAATCCTGGGAAACGCTGAAACTCCCGTCTTCCCCGAACTGAGCACAGTGACAGGCTGAGAGCTGCTGCAGTGTGAGGGGCTTGCTCCACGTCCCAGTTATCCTCACTCCAATTACCCACGTTCCATGTCCTGGTTATCCTCGCTCCATATCCCAGTTATCCCTGTTCCATGTTCCAGTTATCCCTGTTCCATATCCCAGATATCCCCACTCCATATCCCAGTTATCGCTGCTCCATGTTCCAGTTATTCCCCTCTTCTTGTCTCAGTTATTCCCACTCCATATCCCAGTCATTCCCACTCCATATCCCAGTTATTCCCCTCTCCATACCCCAATTATCCCCACACCATATCCCACTCATCCCCACTCCATGTCCCAATTATCCCTGTTCCATATCCCAGTTATCCCCTCTCCACATCCCACCTCTCCCTACTCCTCCCAGCCTGGGGACAACACGAGGGCTCTTCCATGGGGTAGGACAAGAAGGATGCAGATGGCTGCCCCCCCCCCGATTCTCCTCCTGCCCTCAGCTCAGCACCCAGGAGAGGAGGAAACCTGGCTGTAAATACACCCGGAGGATTTTTCTATCTGCGATGCTCACTTCCCTCCCTTGGCGCTGCTCTCACATCCCTTGGCTGCCAAACTGCTGGGAATTAATCCCGTGCTGACAGCGTTTACATTGGGCTCTGCTCAGATAAACCATATCAGAGGTGGAGCCGGGCGAGGAAGGAAGGGTCGTGCTCCTGCTTAGTGTCAGCCTGGCTGCTCCTCATCGCTGCAGCACGGAGCTTCTGGGATGGGGGGAGCACAGCATCCAAACCCTGCAGGATTGAGGGCTTTTCTTGTACCTTACCTCCATGTACAGTGGAGAAAAGAAGGGAAATGTTCTTCAAGTCAGCAGGAGCCTGTGGGCTTGGTCTGCAGCCCCATGGCATGTGGGACACGGGGATCAGTGTCCCCCAACATCTGGTTTGGATTTAGCATCCATGCTCTGCAAATGGAGGGCTTCTCCAAGGGCTGGTTTTAATGAGCGTTTGCACAGCACAGCTCTTGCAGACTTCATTTCTCCCTAGTAGGAGTATTCCTGTTTCTCCTCTTTGGTGTCAGGAGATGGAGGTGGATGGTGATGGAGATGAAGATGGAAATGGAGGTGAGGTGAGATGAGATGGAGATGGAGATGAATGGAGACAGAGATGAAGATGAGATGGAGATGGTGATGATGATGGAGATGAAATGGAGATGGAGATGGAGATGGAGATGGAGATGGAGATGGAGATGGAGATGTGCCAGCCCAGAGCCCACACTTACAGGGACTTATGGCCAGGTGGACACCCGGCAACACAAACCCATGCCATGGCCAAGAAACCAAAATCCCCCTCCCTCCATCCTTCAGCTCATATCTACTATCCTTCACCACATCACTGGGGTGGTTCCTAACATCTCCTTGGCCAAGGGTTCCTCCTGCAAAGCAGCATCCCTGGGCTGTGCCATGTGGCAGCTTTGGGGCTCCCTGGGGCCCTTCTCCTGCACTGCATCCCATCTCCTGCCTGTGGGGTCTGGGTCATGGCGCAATCGTCACAGCCACCCCAGTGACAGGAGCCAGGGGTAAATATTAGTACAAAGTGAAGGGCTGTGTAAATATTTTCTCTCTGCAAGGTATTGCTGAAGTTCCCAGCTCCTTTGTCAACAGCCTTTAGGAAATAACAGCCGTGTGCTGGTGATTTCCAGGCTGCGCTGGTTCTCGTCTCAGAGCAGTGTGCCAAGGGTGGGGAGCATCGTGACCCCACAGCAGCTCCCAGTCCCTCTGCCCGTGGTTTCCAGGCCAACATTTCCCATCTGGAGCGGAGCAGCATGCTGTGCTGACCGCTCGCTTCCACCTGGATGTGCACACAGGATGTGGCAGAGACTCCAAGGACGGGCAATTAATCGTGGTGACAACACTGAAAGGTTTTCCCAGACAAGAGGAGATGGACAGAACCAGCCCTTTGGGTCCCCTCACCATGGCCATGGCTGTTGGGTTTGCTTTGGCCAAGCCAGATTGGTGCTTGCTGGTTGCAGTGTGCCACAGGCACCAGCAGCAGCCATAGGGAAGGAGTAAGGTCCTCTTGTGCAGCCCTACCCGGCCATACAGAACCCACCAGAGGACACAAACCGCCCGCCAGCATCACAGCAAAGAAACCAGGAGGAGCCAGGGGGGCTTTGATCGATTTATCCACTGAAGATACAAGTTTCAGTTTAATAACACCATTCTGTCTGGTTACAAACATACTAAAAACCTACAAAAAAAAAAAAAATTAATAATAATAATAATAAGAAAACTGAAGAAAAGAAAAAAGAAAAGAAAAAAAAAAAAAAAAGAAAAACCAACCAAACAAAAAACCAGTTACATCCATCGTACACAAGACGGCATGTATAAAACCAGCACGGAAGCGCCGAGGAACACAAACATGAACAGCATCCGCAGCAGCATCGTAACGGTAACACACAGAGCTACACTGGACCCCACGGCTCCGTGTGGGGCCGCTGAGACGAACTAACAATTAGAGACAGCTCTGGCAATGGGAAGAGTGAGCGGCGTGGTCTGTTGGGTGCTCAGACCGCGCGGGCGGTTTGATCTCCCTCTCTTCCTAAGTTGGTCCGTGGTGGGTTAGCGGGGTTCCTCCCTCGCCCCTCTGTCACCTGGTGGGCAGGAGGGGGCTGAGCTCTGGTCTCTGGGGTGGGCTGAGGGCAGGGGCACAGCCCACGGGGGGGAACCTCGGGGGGCAGCGATGGAGGGGCACAGGGTTGTTAGGGCTCCTTGTCCAGGTGTGTGTGATGTATACGTATGGCGTGTGTCAGCTGTAGCTACAAGGGGACAGGGATGGATTGGGACCTCTGTCCTGTCCTATACCCAGCAGGCACATGCAGCCCCGTGTCCCATCCCTTTGCCTTTGGGTACACATCCAGCCAAAAGCTGGGGGGAAGGATGCAGATTGGGAGCACTGGGTGAGCCAGGATGAGATGCTGGGGGCCGACCCTGCCCTGGGGACACCCAGTCCTGCTCCTGCTGCTGGAGGGGGGCACTGGGTCACAGCACCAAACCCTGCCCTTCTGGTGGGGCAGCAGCTCTGAGCACGTGGGAGGTGCAACGTCACACTTCCCAAAGGGCTGTGACATGGAGCAGCTGTGACACACGTGCACACACGTGTGCTGGGGAGCTGCACTCGGAGCCAGGACCAACCCTCCCTTTCCTCTCTTTCCCACAGCATTTTTCATCCCTCTGTCACTCCGGAATGATATTTTTTTCCCCTTTTTCTGCTCATTTTCATCTCTCCCCAGCTGACAATTTTCCTGATTTAAGCAATGCTCGCTCTGCCGAGGGCGGCGAGGAGGGGGTGTTTGCTCCATCTCCATCGTTTCCCTACACAAGCTCTGCCCCAGCCGCCCTCCCTGCTCCATTTTACGTCCTACAGAGCTGATAAAAATAAACATGTTTTTGTTTGTGTCTGTTTGAGTGGTTTGCAGTGGGGCTGACGGGGGTGGGACAGCAGCTGGACACATCTGGATTTGGTTTAGAAAATATGCCTGGAAAAACAGCCGGCCCTACGCACACATGCGTGCACACATGCAGTCATGGGACTGCTGTTCTGGGGGGACAAAAATAAAGGAAAAAAGGGAAGAAGAAATCAGCCCCAAACAAAAAAAATCCGGTTGGAAGAAATTAACCTCGAAGGTTAATGCACGGACTTTGTCTGAAGATGAAACATCTCTAACAGACCCAGGTCTGCAGAGCATGGACAGTACAGAACCAATGGGCTTCTCCCATCTGCATGAGCCCAATGGTGACACTGAGCAACCATGAGCACAGCCGACCTTTGGGAGATGCTGTTGCAAACAGTGCTGGTGGGTTCAGCTTTGAGGCCACCTCGTCACTTTGTGTCCCCTTCCTTTCCTAAATCCTCTGTCCCTGCACACGCTGGCTTTATCCTGAGCAGTTATTTCCATCCAGTCCATCACACACATCCAGGACCAACTCCTGCCTCCACCTCTTCTGGCTTGGCAGTGGGGTGGCCAATGGAAGAGGGCTGGTGTGTCACCAACTAGGCAGCAAAACACCCAAAACAGTGAAAAAAAGACCCAAAAGATTCCCTGTGGATGTCTAAAAAGCAGTGGGTGAGCAAAGCAGGAATTGCTGGCTGGATGCTTGGAGTGGGGAGGTCACCACAGGGACATTATGGTATTCGTCGTAATCACCGTCCCCATCAAAGCTCTAAAAATCACAGAGATAGTTTGGGAAATAGAGGGTGACAAGGATGCCAAAGCTTCCTAGGGAATGTATCACCCCCAACCTTCCACCAGCCTGACCTACATGCATGTGGGAGTAGGTAGGGCTGCCCCTCTGTCCCCTCCACTCTCTGTAGCCAAAAGGGAAACTGAGGCAGCAAAACCCTGCAGACTCACCCACAGCCCCAGCACTGGGGCAGGATGAGACATACGGCCCCACAGCCTCACAGGGCATGGGGCAGCCCCCAGGCAGGGCGGGGGAGCACTGCTGGTCCGTGACCACACGGACCGACTTCTACCAGGCACTTTGTTTGCAGGAGCCCAGTCTGACCCAGAGGGCAGGAACACTCCCTACATAAAGCAGTGTCAGCGTCAACAGAGCTGGGACCTCCCTCCACACCCCATCCTTCCTGTGATGGACCCTTCATCTTTCCCTATCCCAATTCCTGAATTCCTTTTCTCCAGGCAAGGGGCCCTGGTCCCACATCCCCACCTGACAGACAAACAGTGGCCAAGGCACAACGTGTGTCACCCGAGCCCATCCTCATGTATGTCCCTGGTGCAGGGACCCAGCGCTGCGCAGGGCACCCAGGGACACCCCGCCTTCCTGCAGTGGGGACGAGTGGCACTTCTGTCCCCTTGCTCCCTCCAGCCCCAGGATGGGTTGCAACAAATAGCCACGAGAGCTGCGGATGAAGCAAGCAATGGGTGCTGCAGCCTCTGGGCTGGCTGCCCTGCGAGGATGAGCAGCGCGGGCAAAGCAAAGTGCGGCGGTCCTGATAAGCATCGCAGCCCAAAAGCAAGAAGCTGGGCTGTCCTGGGGGCGAGGCATGGAAAGCAGAAGGGTGAGCAGTGCCGCACACCGCTGCGTGGCAAGGCATGGGCTTTGGGAGGTGATCATGGACCAGGACAGCGAGATGGAGCCAACAACCAACGCACCCTTTGCCCACATCCCGTGCTTCACCCCGACCCACCCACACCCCCGTGGTTCTTAGTTTTTGGCTTGCTTACTGATATATTTTTTGAAAACCTTATAGAGATCCAATTGTGATTGGCATCTACCAGCACTGGCCGGCCCCGCGCGGAGCGAAGACCTCGAGAACAGAGCAGGGCGGATTCCTGGCGCATCGCATCCCTCCCTGCCCCTCGCCCGTCCCCGCGGTCCGCTCACAGCGTGGCACTGGGGTAGGACACCCAGCCTGCCTCTTTGTACGCGGCCGTCACGTGGGTGTAGATGAGGGTCCTCATCTTGGTCCATGCGCCGTGCGCCTCCGGGGTGAAATCGTTGCCGTACGCCTCGGCGATCACCTCCAGCATGACGCCGGTGAGCTTCTGCGGGGGACAGCAAAGGGTTAATGAGCTCTGCAGGGAGGGCAGGATGAGTGAACTTTTTCTCTAAGGAAATGCAAGGCTGGGGTTGAGTTCTGGGAACAATGGCCCTCTGCTGCATGGAGGGGTGATCTGGATGTTACAACGCTCACAGAGGGGCTGGGCAGGAGGCTGACGTGGCGCCGCTGAGCATCTCCTTAATTTTGGCAGCTCTAGTGCCATAGGTGCCATCCACCACGCTTCATTGCTAAAAGAACTCAAGAAGGACCCTAGAGATGTGCAAGAAGAGGAGCAGGATGCAGGCAGGATTCTGGTTGGGAGAGGAACTCCAAGCCCCAAAAGCTCCAGTGTTAGCTGCCTTTGGGGATGCTGCTCTACGTGAGGCAGCATCTCGATAGGAAACTGCAGGCACGAGGGGAGCAGCCCTACAAGCAGCACCACCACTGCTTCTCCCTGACTCCCCACCATGGTGGGGATGGGTCAGTGGTTGGTCTCAGTGGTCTTAGTGGTCTCTTCCAACCTTAATGATTCTAAAGCATCCCAAGAAGTTTTCATTCCCTCCCTTTACCTTAAAGTAGACGGGCTCCACTTTGTGCTTGAGGGCATGGGCTTTGCCCACCAGGGCCAGAACAGAGGAGACCTTCTCTGGGTCATTGAGGTTCTCCACCACAGAGTTGATGGCACCCATGACCCGCTGGGCGTGCTTCCGCAGCTGCAAGCTCCTCTCCATCTCCAGCGTGTCGTCCATGTGCTTGAACTGGCTGAAGTATTGTTTGGCCGATGGGAAGTTGACAAAAAACCTTGGGAGAAAGGGCAGAGAACAGTCAGGAGAGGAGAGGTGCTGGGAACAGCCCCATTACCTCCAGCACAGCCAGGGCTAGAGTTCATTGAATTCCCAGGGAAATACTGTAGGTTTCATCAGCACGATAATGCCTTTCTCACTTATCTACTACAAAGGCATCCCAGTTGGATATTTATCTACAAAGCAGTGGCAGGACTGAATTCCTTATCATTTCACCCAGAAACTCCAGCCCAGTATGCCAGATGCCACAGCCATCCCCTATATGTCAAAACATCTCCTCCTGACTCAGAAAGATGGAAAAAAGCAAGCAAAGCTCATCCCTCATCCAAGCCAGCCTCTCCCTGCCTATCTTTGACCCCGTGGGCTCTCTTCATGCATTGCCATGCAAAGAGCCCCTCCCAACCCAGGATGTGCCCAGCATTCACAAATCCACCTCTCCAAAGAGCTCCCAGCAAGACCCCAGGCCAGATCTCCCAGTGCCAGGAGCCACTGCCAGGACATCCCCCAGGCACCCAGCCTACAGCTGGGGTCCCTCTTTGCTATGGGATGAACCAATCCCCACAAAACTCAGCTGGAATGAGTGAAGCTGCTGATGGCAGGCAGTTGTGCCCAAGCAACATCTCAACCATGCATCCCTTTCCCATCCCATTCCCATCCCATTCCCATCCCATTCCTAACCCTTTCCCATCCCTTTCCCATCCCTTTCCCATCCCATTCCCATCTCATTCCCATCCCTTTCCCATCCCATTCCCATCCATCACTACATCCCTCCAACACCAGCTGGGATTATCACCCCACTCACCACCCCACAGGCAGTGTCAATTCATGGATCCCGCTCACTTCCCACCCCATTACTCTCCCTCTCCCTGCTCCCAGCCTTCCCCCACTCCATTGGCTGGTGCACAACTCATGGCATTGCCAAGGAAGCAGCTGGAGGCAGCGCTGGGATCACGCTGCTCCCCAAGGCAGCTGGGATCCATCAGCCCAAAATAGGTGTGATGAGCAGAAAGGTTGGGGAGGAAGGAGAGTGAAGGGGGGGGACAAGATGTTGCTTTGAAACTCACATCGGGTCAATGTCAGCAGGAATCCCAACCCAGGGAGGCTGCCTCTAGCTCCCATTCCCATGGATGTCCTCAGGCCCATCCCGTTGGCTCAGAGATGCCACGGGGTGAGGGATGGCCGGGACCCATCACAGGGCTGGGGCATGGAGTTGTTGGCCATGGAGATGGCACTGGGACTGAGGTTGTGCCTGGAGCCTTCCCCAACAAGCACATGCCTGAGCCTGGAAATCTCAAGTCCCTCTTTGCTGTTAGAAGCTCCCTGAAAAGCCCCATCTGCTCTCAGCATGATGAGAAAACTCAAGGACTGAGCTTGGAGTAACCACCAGGACCCCCAGAACCACAGCACACAGAGGGAACAAGCACAACCCCAAGGCCGTGTCCTCCACCCATGTGGGCAGAGGCTCCAAGTCTGCTCATAGCATCACAGTTCTGAGCAGGGACCCCAAGGCTGGAGCAAATCTGAGCTGTCGGAGCCAGAAAGAGAGGGAACGAACCTTTCTCGTAGTTGCTAATAAACAGAGAAGATTAATTTAACACAAAGGTTAAATATAACCCGAGGGAGCGGGAGGGGGAGAGGGAGGGAAAGGAGGAAGAAATAAAATAACTCAAACAATAGTGAGATAGAAGAGGTGTTCACTGGGTTTGTTTCTATCCACAGAACATTTCTGAGAGTTCAAACAGCTCAGGCTCTGGAATTTTGTTGGCTCATTACTCGTGTGTGTGGTTCGGGCTTTTTTCCTTCATCGGAGTCATTAAAAATATGACATTTACCATTGCATATCACACGAAATTATGATTGATGGAAAGCAGATGCCTGAATCCCCATCTCATTAAATTTCTTTTTAAGCGGTTCCATTCTGCACCCGCTAATTTGTTCCCGGCGAGCTACATCTGGACCGAGCGCACAGGATGTCGGAGATGTTTTCCTCCCTCTTTTGCCCTTTTAACAACTTTAAGGACACAACCTTCACCAGTAGCAGAGCCAAAGGAAATAATTAAGGTGCACAGCGCCATGCTGCTGCTCTCTGCGCAGAAGGAGCAGCGCTGCTCCCCGTGCACATTCCCCATCTTCCTCCCTTCTCCATCCCTGTAGCAAAACCAAGCAAGGGCTGAACCCCCAGCTCCAGCCATTGCGTAGAAGAATTAAGGTTGAAAAGAGCCCTAAGATCATCAAGTCCAACTGTTCCTGCCCAGCACGGCTGGAAGCATCAGTGCTTCATCACCCTGAGAGCTCCAACCCGACCCATAGGGAAAGCAGCCCTGAGCCCACCAGGTTGCTGGGATCCCTGGGATGAACACCTGGATACTTTCTGACCGATTTTCAAATCCCAGAACTGTAGAATATCCCAAGTTGAAGGGACCCGTAAGGATCATCATCATTTTCCTACCGATGCTTTCACGCTTTCTCTCATCCCTCTACGTGGGAGAAGCTCTCAGCCATCCCCACATCCTTCCCTAGAGCTCTGAGCCCCGTTCTGCTCCAATGCCCACAAAGCAGCTGCTGGAGGTAGGCAGGTGCTATTTATTGAGCTCGGGATGGCTCAGCGCTTCGCCTGCACCTTCCCAGTGCTGTTCCAGCCACCTGTATGTAGGTTTTCTTTCAGGGCTGGGCTTCTGCAAAGAGATTGGGATGCTCCAGCAAAACCCAGCAGGAAAAACCCAAATGAGTTTGGGGACACGGGGATCCCAGTGGTCTGGGATGGGGAGCTGCAGCCACGCAGAGAGCACAGCCATGAGCCTCTGCTTCCAGATACAGTGCTTTAAATCTCCCCCCCTCTCCAACCCTTTTTCTACCCCTCATGGGGAGTTGATTTTTTGGGAAATATTCCTCTTGAGCCTCCTCAGTAGCAGAGCCCTTTTCTCCAGGAAAACATCCATTCAGACTGCAGTGATTCATGAGCGCATGACATGCAGTGGGATGGGGTCCTTCTGAGGGGGCCCCACTGCAAAGCATTTTGGGGAGGGGGCTCAGTTGGGATGCTTTGCCCTGAAATGCACCTTTTGGCACAAGAAATGGGCTCCTTGCCCCCAGGGACACCCAAACAAAATGCACGGCACCTGCAAAACCATCGCTATAAATGACATTTTGGGGAGATTCAACCCACTGATTGATTCTGAAAAATAGAAAGGGTTTTCTGCAGAGCTGGACTCACTCCTTGGGCTCTCTGGTAGTTTATCCCGGCGTGCAGGATGACTGCTGTGCATGTTGTGCTCCTCCAGCTCCGAGCACTGGGACTGATGGAGAAGGCAAAAGAATTGGAAATGTGGACAGGTGGTGATGGGAGCAGCGAGAGAGGGATGGGGAGGCTCTGCAGCACAGGGCTCAGCACAGCTGCCACATTGAGAATGGGGCAGACTGGGAGTTGATGGGGACTGTCCCTGGGTTCCTCCTCAGGAGCCCAAGGGGATCCATACAGTTTTGCAGTCCCACACCTGTGGCTGCAGCAGGTGGGTGTGAGGGTCGGCATGTGGGGACTTCCAACCCATAGGGGTTTCCAACCACGCTCATGTTGGGCACGTGGCTGTATGGCACTGCACTGTGAGCTCCCTGCACACGCACCCAGCCTCTTCTGAGGACCTCACCGGGCAGCATTTTCCCAAAAGGAACAATTCCTAGGTTACAGATGGGGAAACTGAGGCACAGCAATGCACCCAGAGCTACGGCCAGGCTCCGTGTGTGCTGCAATGTGTCTCTCTGCCATGATGGCTGGAACGACCCAGCCGAAATGCAGTCCCAAATGTGCAGTTAAGGGTACCCTGCCCATCCCCAGCCCCAGCCCCAGTCCCATAAGGGTTAAGGCAGCTGCTGTGAAATGGATCCTGGCAGTGATACTGCAGAGGCCCCACGTTCCCCAGGAGGAAGATGAAGCTCCCCCACCGAGGAAATGGTCAATTAGCAGCATAGTTCTGACCGCACGGCGCAGATTCCCATGATCCGGTGGCTGCACTGCCTGAAATCCTCATTATCTGTGATCATATCCCGTTGGATCCCAGAGGCCCCACAAGCTCAGGACCCCGCTGTGCTGCTGGAAGGACCATAGGGATGTGCTATGGCTCCGAGCAAAGCTGCAGCCACAAGGGCTGGAGCCTGATGGCCAGTGCTGGTGCACAGCCTTGTGCCTCAGTTTCCCCATCTGCAAAGCAGAGGGTGGATGAGCCAGCATAGAAATGGTGTGAGAAGGAGGGAGATGCACTGGGACACACAGCAGAACTCCTGCAGGATGGTGGCACTACAGACCCTCACTCCAAGCTCGCCATTTGGTTGGGCATCCCCACCTTGCCATCACAGTGAAGGACTGGCCCCCAGCTTGGGTTCAGCCCTCGATGTGCAGAGGTGGCTGTGAGCCCCCATGCATTTCCCGTAGGAAGAAGTTATCCCCAGCCCAGAGCAGGTCCTGAAAGATAAACTGGGGAAAAGCAGAGGAAAACTCCATGGGGCAACACAACTCCCCAACAACAGAAATGCAGTTGGGCTCTGGGCATGTGCCATGGTAAAGGCTCACAGGGAGCCAGGTCCATCCCAGGTCTGTGATACCCTGCTGGCAGTTGGGAACACCTCAACACCAGCACAGTGCCACAGCTCTGTCTGGGGACAGGCAAGTTGGAGCAGAAACTTAGATGGGGAGAGTTTGGGTTGGGAGCAGAGCTCAGCCACATGTTCCCATGGCCGCACCTCGCTGCCCTCACCCCTGCTGAGCCCCATCACTGCACCCTAAAGATACCAAAAGCAAGGAGTTGCCCTGGGCTAATTCCCCCATGGCATCATCCAGGCAGCATCCTGCCCAGACACCTCTTCCCAACACTGCCATTGGCAATACAGCTGCTGCACACTGTTGGGGCTCAGCAAACTCCATGCCCACCCCTGTGCATCGGGGACATGAAGGCAGTGAGGACGCCTGTGCCGCACTTCCCACTCCCCATTGCCCTATGCTGGAATGGGAGAAGGAGCATTTTGGCTTCCCAAGGTTGGACAGTAATTCTCTGTGCTCTGCATTTCCCATGGGCTCAGGGCATCAGCTATCAGCCCGTGGAAAACTTTTAGAAGGCCGTTCACACAAAGCGCATGCATGCAAAGGGCTCACACCCCACACAACGACGGGCAGCAAAAGGAAAACCTTCCTGTCCCTATTTCCCCTCCAGCAGAGCATAACCCTTCCTGATTTTGGCACCGATGTGGGGCTTTGCATTTTGCCCATTGCAGCCACCTGGCCCCATGCTGCTGGATGATGCTCTGTGCCACGGGGTGATGCTCTGTGCCGTGGGGTGATGCTCTGTGCCGTGGGGTGATGCTCTGTGCCGTGGGGTGACACTCATTGCCACGGGTGATGATGCCCCATAGCTCAGGCAATGCCTAGGGATTGGAGACCGCTCGGTGCTGCCACCCCCTTTGCCCCCACCCCATGTGTGCCCTCCGTCCCCCCCCCGCCGCCAACTCCAGCGCTCCCTCCCCGCCGACGCTGCCGCCGGAGGGACAGATGGTGCCCTCGGAGACACCTGCTTGGGTTTTATCTTGGCTCCCAACTTGCATTATTTCACCCGCCAGCCTGGGACGTACCAACGCCATCCGCACGGAACTCAGTGGGGGGGAAAAAAAAAACCCCAAAACCCAACCGCAACAAACCCACCCCCGGCGAGCCGAGCCCTGCGCCGCGCTGCCTCCGCGCTCCCCCACCTCCACACGGGTTAAGGTGACCTTTCCGATGGAAACCGAATCCCACAAAGTCCCCACGGTGCTGCCCCGCTCCCCCCGCGCTGAAATCGGAGGAGTGCAGCGAATCGTCCCCGCGCCAATGGATGCTCCGCGCTCCCCACTCGCTGTCATTCATCGCGTTCCGCTCTACAGACCGTTCTGTTTTTGTCTATAAAGGGCTTCGCTCGGATTCGCTTTTTTCCCCCCCGATACCTGATGAGTATGGAGACTCCGACGTCCTCGCAGTTGGCGTACACTCTGCTCCATGTCTCCTGAATAACCTTCTTCTCCGCGTCGGAGATCTCCTCACTTCGCTCCCACCTCTCGATCTCCATTTCTCCCTGGACTTTCTCCATGGGGAGCTGCGTGCGTTGCGCCTGGAGCCGGGAGGGGATGTGCGTGAGAGCGGCGAGGTGTGCGCCCAGCAGCTGCGCCCTCAGAGCTGGAATTTCGGGTATCTCCTACAGCTCGGGTCTCCCCATGGCTGTAGCAGCTCCCGCTCAGCCTGGATGCGGGCGGCTGACTGATGGGAAACTGCCGAAAAGTGAAATATTCAAAGGCATCGCAGGACCAGCCTCTTCCAACGTGTGAACGTGAGCTCACTTTCCCCTCTCTCCTCCTCTCTCCCACTCCTCCCTCCTGCTCTCAGGGAGGGCGGGGGGTGGAGAAGGGGAGGGTGAGGGGGGGGAGGTGGAAGGGTTTTTTTTTTTTTTCAGCCTTTGTAAACAGCGTGGAGGAAATAGAGAATGTGAGACGCACTGCTGAAGTTGTCCCAGTGCTGGCTGGGCCCAGCGCTGCCTTTGGGATGCCCACCACCTCCCATAGGGACACATCACCCTCTGTCCTGCAGATTGCAAGGAAAAGGTGGGGAAATTCATGCCTTTGGGAAGGGGTGTGAGGGAACACCTCTGTGCTGCTGTCGGGTTGTTTGTACCCAAATCCATTTGCAGCTTGCTGCAGACCCAGGCTGTCAAACTGGCAGCACAGGAAAAGGCAGAATACTGCTGGGACTTGGAATGACCACCGGGCCTGCAGAGGGGGTGGGAGAAGCAGTGGGGGATCCTGCAGTGCTCTGGCAGCTGCTGCACATCCTGACAGAGGGACAGCAGGCAGACAGACAGGTGGGCACACAAGGGGACAGAGCAGGGGGACAGGCAGGCAGACAGAAAGACAGTCAGGCGGATGGGCAGGCAGACAGTGGACAGACCAACGGACAGACAGGCAGGCAGACAGACAGATAGGCGAGCAAACAGACAGACAGGCAGGCAGACAGATGAGCAGTGGCAGGTGGGACAGGTGAACAAACAGACAGGCGGATGGAAGGCGCAGCTCCAAAGCACACCTGGGCAGGGGCTGGAGTGTAGCTGAGCCCTGCTGTGGCCTGTGCTCTGTTCCAGCAGAGCTGCCAAGGCTTTTTGCTGTATTTCTCCTCCAAACCATCCTCAGCTGCCACTCCGCTCCCAGCAGGAAAACTGTTGGCATCAGCAGATCTGTGCTTACAGCTGCGAGGGGAGCAGGGGGGGATGCTGTCCTGCTGCAGGCCCAACCCAGCAGAGCAGGACCCCCCTGCCACAGCCAGAGCTGTGCCCTCTTCCTGGCAGCAGGATTTGGGGTTGGGTGGAGAGTCTCAATTCTGTGTTAGAAATGAATGAGGAGCCCCTGAACGTTTCCAAGAGGGTCCCTGCCCCTCTTTGGAGACATCACACCCAGCTCTGCCACGTGCTTGGCTTCTTCCCATGGGAAGCCACTCTGAGACTTGTGGGTAGGACTGTGCTTGGTGGAGATGTGCCATGCCAACCCACTACCTACCAACCCCAAACACAGCCCTCAACTTCTGCGTCTCCTCCCAGATGTGAATCAGAGCCGTGAGCACAGCCTCACAGTGTGACAGCGTCCCATTGCCACCATTTCCCCCAGCTAATGTGGCAGGATGTGACACATTCCAGGAGAAAGAAGCTGCATTGACACTGCTGCTCAAAACCTCAGAGGGTCAGCATTGCCTGGTGTCACCCTGCTGGTCTTTGTCCCTGCAGGGACCTGAGTGTCCCCACCGGGGGACCAAGTGCTGCACAGAGGGAGGTGGCAGCCCCAAAGGCACAGTGGCATTTGCCACCCTGCCCTCCCACATCGCCTCTCCCCCTTCTTCTCCTCCTCCTCCTCCTCCCTGCGCTGGGTGCAATGAGGAATGCACTTGGCTCCTGAGCCTGGAGTGGGAGGTGGAGGCAAAAAACACGACTTCAGCTCCACGGCGTGTGGGATGGGGATGGTGGCAGAGTTCCACCCTTGACTCCTCACCGAGGGTGAGGTGCAAACCCCGTAGCCAAACCACAGCCAAACCTCACAGCCAAACCCCACAGCCAAAGCTCAGTCAGCTCTGGATGCTCTGGGCTGAGCACCACTGTCCCTTGTGCACGAGGAGGAGAAATAAGGAGACTTTAGGAAACGGCTTTGCGGTGCCTGCAGCAGCCAGCACACAAGGAGGGGAGGATTTAGTCTAAAGCCTGTGCAAATGCTCTGTGCTTATTGCAGGTTTCCTTCCTTCTGCTTCTCGGGTCCCCAGGGAACCATGCAAAGCCGGAGCTCCTGCTCCAGCTGCGGCTGTGCCAGGGGCTGAAGGGGGGCAGCAGGACCTCCAGCTGAGGTTGTACTGCTGTCTGTGTCCAGACCCCATGGGGTGGGACCCCCAGGTTCCATCCTGACTCCATCACTCGCAACCCCAGGTGCTGATTTGCTCCCCTCTGCCCATGTCCCCCCCGGCACTTCTGGGCAGTGCCAGGAAGCGAAACCCAACTGTTTGTGCAGAGCAAATCCCACAGCAGACATTCCTCCTCTGATTGAAACCAGACCTCACGCGATGCTGCTGGGGCTGCTGGCGAGGGCACGTTAACCAGAGCAGAGCATGAGATCCCAAAGTGGGAGCAGGGTCTCTGCTTGGGGACACGGGTTGGCCATGTGGGTCAGGGTCCAAGTGATGGGATGAAGGTGGGTGAGATGAAGGTGTATGGGATGGAGGTGGGTGGGATGGAGGTGTATGGGATGAAGATGTGCAGGATGAAGGTGTATGGAATGGAGGTGTATGGGATGGAGGTGGGTGGGATGAAGGTGGGTGGGATGGAGGTATATGGGATGGAGGCAAATGGGGTGAAGATGTGCAGGATGAAGGTGTATGGGATGAAGGTGGGTGGGATGGAGGTGTATGGGGTGGAGGTGTATGGGGTGGAGGTGTATGGGGTGGAGGTGTATGGGGTGAAGATGTGCAGACCCAACCGGCAGCAGCCATGAGCATTGAGGAGTGAGGAGGATGAGGCAGGAAAACCCCCATGGCCTTCTCAAATGTTGTGTCATCTCTTCCCTGAAACCAAACAAAATCAGCCCACACAACATAAAGTTCCAGCATTAGGAAATCCAGGGGAAAAGAAGGAAGCGGAGGTGCAGACAGGGCTGGGAGGTGGGTGCATCCATGAAGCTCCGGGGCAGGGCTGGGAACTTGCTCCACAACCCGGTGCCATGCTGAGAGCTCTCCTAAATACCCCAACCCCTCCCCAAGGCTTCGGGGAACAGAAACGGTGATGCAAGGTGGGATGAAGCAATAGTGCTGGGAGGAAGCAGGGGATGGGGATGTGGTGTGGATGAGATTTGCTCCTCGCCATCCCAATCCCAGCAGGAGCCAGCTGAGCATCGTCCCCATGTCACAACCAGACAGTGAGTGGGGATGACAGGGTTATTGGAAACAAGGTGACACTTCCAAACAGATTCTCTTTGCTGCTCTTTCCCTTCCTGAAGCTGGCCTGGCTGTGGCAAGGGTTGCTCAGGAAAGCCAGCAAGCTAATGTATTCATGTCATCTTGCATTTGGTGCCAGGACATGAAGTAAACACTGTCAGGGACCTCGCTCAGGTTCAAAGACGAGCCCTGCTTCTTATTCCGATCACATTATCCGTGCTCCCTGTACAGATTCATTGATTCATATCTTAAAAAGAAAAGCCTTCAAAACCCATTAAGCCTGCCTTGCCATTCCAGCCCTGCTCTCAAGAGCTGGGGCAAGAAGCATTAACTAATCTGCTCACATTACTTTGCCTTTGAGCCAAGCATCTCTCGGTGTCAATCAAGCGTGTCTGGAAGTGATACGCTCCGGCGCAGGGCAGCGAGTTCACTGCATGGAAAATCAGTGTAGGAGCCCACAGCTGGGCGCTGGGTGGGCAAAGGCACCTCTGGAAAAGAACCCACGGAGGAGGCTTTGCCGTGGTCTTACCGATGGTTGCTTTTTCTCAAGAGCTCAGATGGTGTCTGGGACACAAGTGGGGACATCCCGGTGCCACCTGGTGTGCAGAGAGAGGAGCAGTCCAGCCGGAGGAGGCGCTTGGGATGCTCCCAAAGAACTCCCATCCTGGTGGAACAACTGAGGAGGGTCCATCCCCTCCAACCTGCAATACAGGGACCGATTGTGGGATGGGCTTGCAAGGATTTGTCTTTACAGCTATGCTCAGTGTTTTTTAGGGCTTGGAGAGGTCCAAAAGGATGTTGTCTGAGTGGGGATGAATCACAGCATCCCAGTCTCTTGCTGATGGGATGGAGAGCCAGGATCCCCCAAAGCTCACTCTGCTTTCTCTTTCTGACCTCATCACTTAGTGAACCAGGGCTGATCAAGGCTGCTTGGATCTGACCCTGGTTTCAAAACCCATTTGTGTGGGGAATCTGTTTTCCAGCACAGAGGTGTGGGGAGAGGTATGCGTGCTGCTGAGAGCGGGGAGGGGGAGGCAAAGCCATCCTGCAGACATTGGGATCAGCTGGCTGAGACGTGGCCATGGGGAATTACATGCAGGGCTGAGCCTGTCAGATTACCCGAGCGGGGAGGGGGGAGCGGGAGAGACAGGAGATGGAGGGGAAGGAGAGGGGAGAAGGTGGGTGAGGAGGGGAGGGAGGCACGTGGAGAATAGGGAGCCCCCTGCCCTGACCCCATGTCAGGAAATGCATGGGATGCATGGGGTGGGAATGGGCTCTGTGTGTTGGTGTCCACCCCACTGGCATCTGTCCGGATGCAGCTCAGTGCTGAAGGTTTCACAGAGCTCCCTCTCTGATCCCACCCGAAGGTCAGAGCAGAGCGTCCTCATTTGCTGCCCGTTAATTACTTCTGATCCTGCTCTAATTCCTTCTAACACCATCCCTGAGAGCCTCCAGGTGGCTGCTGGGCAGAGGGCAATACCAGGGCTGGGACAGCGGGGTCCTGCAGGAGGGACGCGAGGGCTGCGTGGTGATGGAGCCATGTGCACCACCGCCCTGCTGCTCGGCACGCTGGTCGTGATGCTGCGGAGACGCTTCTCCAACAAAGTCGAACCGTATGTCCTTCCCTGCCACGGGCTTTGGGGTCCCCGGGAGCTGGGGACAGGGTAATGAAGGTGGCCCTGGGGTGGGTGGCAGTGGGTGGCTCAGCTGGTGGGGAGGGGGCAGTTGGGATGGGAGTTGCTGCGGTCCTGTGGTTACAAAGCCGTGCTGGAGAGCAGGGTTGGTTCCGTGCATCCTCACCTCGATGTGGGCACGGTGGGAGGGAGCATTGCTCCTGTTGGGTGCTCACTGCCTGCCCCAACACCAGGCTCAGCCGGAGGTTTCCACTGTAGACACGCAAATCTATTTACCGACGGAGGCTGGAGACATCCGAAAGTGGGGAGGTCAAATTGGTGCTTAATGAGCCAATTAAGCCAGGGCATGGAGAATAGGAACTCGAGGCAGGGAAGGCAGCTCCTCCTCTGTGCACACTGCAGCCCTCCCCTACCTGCATTGCCCACTGAATTAAAGCTGCCTGAGCAAACAGGGGCTGTGTAGGGTCACCAGGGCTCTGTCCCCAATGGAGCTGTGGCCACAACACGAACCTTGCCCTGCGCTGCTGGGAGCTGGACACAGCACGAGGGCTCCATTCTAGGCTATCTAAAGCTAAAGGAGCAGCAGGTCACCTCCTGCCCAGCCTTGCAGCGGGTTTGTAGCAGAGAACAAAGCTGTTTCTGCAGGGGAAGGTAACAGGTTTTCTGCTTGCTCTATTTTGGACATCCATCTACCCACCTCGCTCTGTGCTGGCATAAATCACTGCAGCTCCACTGACAGGTTTATACCAGGAGAGAATTCGTCTCCAGCCTTGAAAATAGAAGTGACAAGAGGGAAAGAAAGAAGTGCTGCTGGTCAGAGACTGTGGAGAAATGTGAGAGGCGACCAGGGAAGAGTGGAGCAGGCTTCGGATGGGCACGGCAGAGGGTGGGCAGCCTCCTCCATTGGGTGCAGTTGGGTGGTGGTTGTGTTGGGGTTGGGGTTGCTTTGGGCCAGGCAGCCCCTGGACTCCATGCACCGCAATAAAGGCCAACATTTCCATTGGGATGAGCCCAGGATTAAGGATGTGTCTGAAATCCAGTGCGTGCTGAAGACTGGAGCACATGGGATAAAGCTGCTGCGGTGCAGGAACGTCCCCGGCTCTGACGTTCCCCTGCATCCTGGGCAAAGGACACAACCGTGCAGCACAAGCAAGATGAGATTATGTAAAATCCCCTGCTCATTGACCTCCTTCACGTCCCCTCTTCTATTTATATGCCTTGGGGCTGCCAGGGACGGTGCGGGGTGTCCTTGGTCTGTGTTGGCAGGGCTGGGGTGGGGGTCAGGAGGACTCTGGAGCTGGCTCCCACCATCCCACATGGAGGGACTCCAAGGGTTTCCTCCTCACAGTGCTCACCTGGACCAACCTCCCCATCCAGGGACGGGGAGGACGTTGGGCTTCAGCTCTTGGTTTTTGTTACCCAGCAGGGTTCTGCTTGCTATGTGTGGTTATGGATGGCTGCTCGGCTTCCTTCCTCAACTTCTTTCCCCCAGTCCCCAGTGAAGCACAAGGGCTGCACGAGGGGACATGAGGTTGGGGAGGTGGAGGTGCCGTGAGCCAGAGCTTTGTGCGAGATGGGAGCAGCCCCTCTGCACTTCAGGCTGCCAAAAACAGAGTCGGTAGCACAGCATCATCTGGATTTCACCTCCCAGCCCCAGCCCCTCTGGGAAGCAGGACGTGAGCTCCTCATTTCCAGCACCATCAGGACATGAGCTCCTCATTTCCAGCACCGAGCAGGACGTGAGCTCCTCATTGCGAGCGCATCTCCGGGCTGGAGCAATCAGCACACAGCAGGCAAGCACAGACAAGTGTCAGCTGAATCTCTGTGCGATTTTAAATACATTAGTGAGGCCACGAGTACAGCTCCAAGCTGATAAATAACCCCCAAACCAACCAGCAGGAAAATAACCCCCTCCTTCCACCGGAGACAAGGCAGGAGGCAGCGTTAGCATCGCTTTCCCCCTTGTTTCTGTGAGCAGATCTCCGTGCTTTAATCCAGACCCACAAGGGTCAATTCTCTGCCACTTCTGCGGAGTCATTATACTGCCTGTTATATAAATGTCTGGGCATGCACAAAAGGCAGTGCTGGTACAGAGGCTCCGACACAACTCTCTCCAACACCTGCTTTCAGCTGGGGAGAGAGCCGAGCACGAGAGCATCTCGAGAGCTGTCACACTGAAAGCTGCTGTCTTTCAAGCTGAATGGAGGTCTAAATAGCTCTCACTTCTCCTTTAGAATCTCATTTCTAAATGCAATTAATACTGGCACATGCATAAAGAGAGACTGACGAGTGAATGCAGACTCCGGCAACAAGAAGGCAGCCCAAGTGCTATGTAAATATTACAAATCCTCACTCAGAGCTGACCTGGGAAGACAGCTTTCTGATGATTAAACCCAAGTGACAATGCCATTGGATTCCTACATCTGTCACAATACTACCTGCTGCTACATAATGCGCTACGCCAAAAGAATCAGCTCTCGCTGCTCTTTAATGCAGATAAAATGTCTATTTGCAGAGTGTAATTAATCTCTTCTTCAAAATCGGGAACCTTAGTGTCCTTGGTAACAACATGCCAGTGACTCAGAGCGAGTCTCAGCTTTCTCCTCTGGCTTTTGAGTGGTACTGGAAGTGACCCCCAATTCTTGGGGCATCACACGTGGAGGAGCCACAGGGTGCATGGGGTGGGGAAGGATTCAGCCCTGCTCTGGGCTCTCTGATGGTTTGGGTAGACCAACCTTGGAGGAGGTGACCAACATTAGGTCCCCAAGGCACAAATCCCCAAATCCCACTTGATCCCACTGATCACCATTGGGTGACAACATGAAAGTGGAGCAGCAGTGCAAATCGCAGCATCGCACTGCACCCTACTCTGCCCCGGCTCCCACCATGGGATGGGACCCAAAAGGCAAATCCTCCACCCCAAAGCACTCAGGGCTGCAGCAGCTTTCTATGAACGTGGCTATGGAGCAGCCACTGCCGCCGGGTTCTGCTCACTGACCCAATTCCAAAGCCCGAGGGAAGGATGCGCCGTGATAAAGGGAGAGATGCTGGAAGGAGGAGGCAATGAGGAATTGTATGATTTATTTATTTCCTGGCAAAAAGAAAAGAAAAAAAAAGAAAAGGAAAAAAGGAAAATAAAAATAAAAAGGAAAAAAAAAAAAGATGTGTTGGCTGAAATCAGCGTATTCCAGGCCAAACTGTGCTGCAGCAGAACCTCGTGGGACTTCAGCTGAACAGAGCTGGGGAAAAACATGGGGAAAACATGGGGAAAATATGGGGAAAACATGGGGAAAACATGGATGAAAGGCAGGTTTGGGTGATGATGAGGGCTCAGCTCTTTCAGTGCAATGCTGTGAAAGTTAGCACCTTCCATTTGGAAAGCCAAATGGGTCCAGATGCTCCCAGTGTAGCCCAGTCTGGGCTCACCTCATGTTTTCCATCCCCAGGCACCCTGAGGGAGAGGAAGAAGAGTCCAGGAGGGAGGAAGGCTCTGAGCCTCGCGCCACCTAACTCTGCTGTGGAGCCAGACCAGGTGGGATGGATGACATGGGAGTCATGGAACGGCTTGGGCTGGAAGGATTTCTGGGGAAAGTGTGCAGATGAAGGAGAACTGGGGAGAAAAAGCCTGTTTTTTTTGCCTTTCTGCCCTGCCACATCTCTCACAGGCTCTGCCTGCTGTTTAATGGTGGTTTCTCCATGTTTCTCCCAAGATTTACAGGTCTCTTTGCCTATCAGTGAGGCGCTCTGGAAAGTGGCTGCTTCTGAGGTGCATGGAAATAGAGACACAGAACCTGAAATGGGCGGACCGGTGGGGGTGGAAGAGCCCTTTCTGACACTTCCAACAGCTGTCCAGCTCCCAGGTGAGGGTACATCCAGCCACGCAGATGCGGGGAGCATCCTGGATCCTGGATCCTGCATCACCTCACCCACCCCAGCTGCCAGCACCAACTAACAGATCCTTCTCCTCCCGCAGCCTCCCAGCCTCAGGACGCACCGAGAACCCCTCCAAAACCCACCTCCATGGTGCAGCTCAGGGTGAACCGAGGCCAAATTCTGCAAATCCTGAATGCTGTGTCTGGAGGGGCTTTGGGTAGTCCCACAGCAATGCCCTTTGGGAGCCACAAGGCAGCCCATGGGCACGGGGCAATGGCACGCTGTGCTCCCGACGCTGGGACTCTCCCAGCTCTCCCACCCATGCACACACATTAATAAAAGATCAGTTTGCAGACGCAGCTTGCTGTAGATGACAGCATTAGAGGCGCATCTGGTTTCTGCTAAGCACCGCTCTCGTGCTGGGTTTATTTGGTCCATTTGTGGCAGGGAAGAGTTGCTTTCGGCATTCAGTGGTGTCTCGTGTCTGGGAGAGGTGGGGGGGAAGATGTATTTTTGGTGCAGCTTAGCCACAAAAATTCGGTTTCAGAATAAAGACAAATATTCCTGTTTTCTATCCGCTGCTAAACGGAGCCTTCATTTGTCTGAGAACTTGGCATCCTGCTGGAAAAAAAAAGATGTTCTGATGGGAAAAGTCCATTGGTTGGTATTGATCAGGCATTGGGACTGGCAGATGTCAGCTTCAGCCTGGCCAAGAAAGCAGCTCCCATCCTTTCCCAAGGGCTGTGAGGGAGGAGGAAGTGGGGCTTTTGTGGTTTTGGCTGCTTTAGGCTGAATGTTGGTGCAGCAATGGAAAGGCAGGCACCTAACCTGGGCTGCTCCCAGCTTCACTGCACCTCTCATTGCTTCCCACCAGCAGGGCAAGGGCAGACACTGCAGCTCCCTTCAGGCTGCTTCTCTGCAGGGAGAACTTGCTGAATGTCCACAGAGGTTTCCTAATAGATTTCTTTTTTCTCCCTGAAGCTTTTTAATTAAACCTTTCCGATCCCAACTCACTTTCGATTTTATTTTCATAAAGGCATTACGATATTCAGGAAGAATAAAACTGCTGCTGTACCTGGAGCTGCCTTCATTTTACAGCAGAATGAAAGCAAATGTGGAGTCAGTAGTGCCAGGAGCAGAGGGGATGCCCATGCAGCACAGGAGAGATTGGGGACTGGAAAGACAAAAGCTTATCTGGACGGGAGCCTCAAAAGCAGAAGCAGCTCCTTGGATGCTATACACCTGTGCTCCCTGGAGGTGCTGGTACTGCTGCAGCACGGCTCTGTGTATTGATTTAAGGGAGAATAAAGGTCAGGAGCTGAGCAGGAGGAGGCTGAGCACGTTTGGGTGGGCAGCGATGAGCGGAGCTGCATGTGGGCAAGGACAAAACCAGGATGGAGACGAGCCAGAGCTCCAACAGCCCCAGTGTGTGAGCGCAGAGCCCGGCACAGCTCTCCTGGCAGATGGCTGAGCCCACCAGCAGGGCCCATCCAGCCACAGCCATCCCAGGTTTAGGGAAAACCCAGATTTCAGCTTAGGCCTTACCATCAGCAAGTCTGACTTTTCCTCCAGTCTGGACTTGCACACGTACGTAGCCAAAAAAAGAGACAAAATAAAAGCAGAAAGGAGGACGCCAGCAAAGCAGAAGGGCCAGCTGGACGTGGCACAGACGGCGCGGCGCTTTGGGTCACTGCACTGAGAGCTCTGCTCCATCAGCTGCATGGGGGAGTGGTGGATTTGGGGCTGAAGGTTTCCTGAGCCAGCCCTCTGTCTGGTGACCTCTGGGACGGATGGTTTCATGAGAAATGGCCTCAATTTACTCAACCCGTTGCAGCAATCGGCGGCTGGCCGAGGTGGCTGCTGCCTGTGCTGGGATGCGTGCTGATCCCAGGAGGTCCTCAGTGGGTGGGAGGGGAAATTTGCTCAATCAAAAATTGCATCGCTGCTGCTGGCCAAAAGCTCACTGTGCTTTACGAGAAGAGCAGGTCCTGCAGTGTCAGCCCTCGTGGCCCCTCCAAGGAGATGCGTTACCACTGGGAAGGAAGGGAGGGTTGGGACATCTCCATCTCCCGAAAATACGATGTGGGAGAAACCAAACGGGAAATGGAGGAGTGGGCTGAGCACAGCTGGGGGTGAGGACCCGCAGCCCCACACAGCTTTACAGGAGGCGAAGCCTTAGGCTGCACTGCGCTGCTCCCCGGGGTCTTGCTGCCTGTCTGCTTTCATCATTGCTCTGTGAGAAGGGAAAGGGACCACACAGCAGCAAAACGTCCTGGAAATGTGCAAGGGAGAGCGTTCCCAGAGCCCTTCCCTGTCCCATCGCCTTCGTGCACAATTGGCTATGGAGGATGTATGGCTCTGTATAGGCTCCAGCTCTGTGAGATAATGCTTTGCAATGACATCCCTAATTACAGCCAGCAGGAGCACTTTCCCAGCTCTGATCGCACACACAGTTTTCTGCTGGACCAAAAGAGACAGGACCCAAACTGGCTGCATCCTCTCTGATCCCAAGGCATCCTGAAGGTTCCTTGCATCCCATAACTTGTCCTTTCATAGGAGAGAAAAAGAAAAACAAACAAACAAAAACAAGGAAAGCAAAGCTACAATAGAAGCAGGAGAAGGAAAGCAGTTCAAGCTTCTTAAGTACCTCATGGAAGAAAAATGCTTCTTGAGGCTGTTCGGGGAAAGAGAGGGTCAAATGTCCCTCATTACTGCTGATTTACTCAGCAGGCTGGGAAGTGGGAGAGGGAGACGGTCCAGCTGCCTGCTCTGTGTGCTGGAGCCTGGATCTGGGATGGGATGAGGACAGGAGATGGGGAGGAGGCTGCTTCATGGGGCTGTTTCCCAGCAGAAAGCACAGTGCACCCATAAGCAGACTGGGACCCTGCGGGCCTCACCTGCACCAATGCAGGAGTTGGGCTCTGGGCTGTCCATGGCAGCTTGGGAAATCATTGACTTTCAGCCAAGGGCAGAATGGGAGCCCTTCATGGGGTGGCAGCCAGCCCTGGGCAGCTGGAGCCCAGCAGGGAGGAAGGGAAGAGCGCTGGCCCAGATTGGAGGGTGTAAAGCAGCAGGGTTCCTCTCCAGAGAGAGCTCAATTACATAGATTTACACTTGCTGCGGATTTGGTCCATTCAACCCAATTAAAACTGCAGAGGAAGCTCAGAGGCAGGATGTAATTACCCGCACTGGAATCCCGGCTCGGAACAGGAGGCAGAGCTCTCTGCATCAAATTAATCCCTGGTGCAACTCTGCCCAACTTACACCGGGGCTATAATTGGTCTGAAACATTTTAACTATCTCATTTAATGTTATTCATGCTCTGCTGGAGATGAGAATGTTTATCCCAAATGAGGAACTTTAATGCTGTGTAGCAATAATAGTGTGAGGCTTATGTGTTTTCTCATTTACGGGGGTGCTGGGGGGGGGCAGATTGTCACAGAAGATGTGGCTCCCCAAATCTTTAACCATGTCCAAGGCTCCTGTGGAGGCTGCTGTTGTCCTTCTCATTCCTTCTGCCTCCCGGCTCTTTGTAGGCATTACCCTCATGTGAATTTCCAGGGTTTCCAGGCTGCCTTTAACAATGCTGAGCTTTCAAGTTGCTTCCTTCTAACTTTCTCCTATGCTTTCTCAGAGCCTAAACAGCATCGATTGCTCCCAGATGTCTGCAGTTTGCTAACCCCAGAGCAGTGTTGTGCAATTGCTTGGAAAGAAGGCTGGTAGCAAGCAACATTCTCTTTCCTGGTTCACCAAATTACTTCCTGAACAGAAGAGCAATGAGATTTATCACGCGGATGCAATCCTTTGGCACCAGGTGGCTGCAGGGAACAGGCATGGAGGTGGCTGAAATCGTGTGGCTGATCAAGAGAATTCTGCTTGAGCACAGGTTGTTCTCCACACCCCAATTCCCCCTTGTCCTCTCAGCAGGATGCTGTTGGGGTGATGAGCCCATGGGGAAGCCCAAGAGCAGGGACTGCTCCCAGCCCAGCTGGATCCCAGCCGTGAACAGGCCACAAGCCAAAGGCCAGCAGCACAGTGCAAGTTTTGCTTGGCCTGAGAGGATGCATGTGCAGATTGCAATAGGTCTCATGGGGAGCAAGGAGCATCACCCGACTGGCCACACTCCTAACAAACCCCACAGCCCTCCTGACCCCTGCTGCTGTCATGCTTCAGCCTCTTGCATTGCTAAACATGCACAAAACATCCCCGTTCCCACTAGCAGGGTGTAGCCGAGTTGGCAGGAGATGAGGTTCCTCTCATCCATCATTCCATCTTCCCGAGGTCACCCCAAATTTCTCAGTGCCTCCGCCCATCCTGCCTGCATCCTGCAGCCCCCAGAGCCCCAGGTTTGCAGGATGGATGGGGACGTCTCACAGAGCACGTGGAGCAGCACGCCTGGGCAAGGCAGGGAACAAGCAGAAGCACAAGAGAAGGAAAAGAAGCAGGGAAAATAAACAACTGATCGGAAAAGAGCATCCAGGGAGGATATTTATTTAGCAGAGGGCTGAGTTAAGGGATAAACCAACCTCCCCAGCTTCTTGGATGGGGTTGAACGCCATGGACCAGAAGGGTTGTGTAGCTTCTGAAACCCAGAGTGTCCCCAAAGTTGAGATAGACACAGAGCATCCCCATCCCCATCCCTGGCTCCAGCCAAGGCAGTGGGAGCAGGACCAGACCCCTGAGCTGCGAGTGAGAAGCGTCAGTGCTTGGAAAGCGCAACCAATTTGCTTTTAGTACAGTTCATGCCTCTCCTACAGTGCCTAGAATAACAAATTCCTTCCACCCTCCAAGCCTGAATGCTGGAGGAAGCTGCTGAGAAACTTAATTGATTAGCTTGATGCGTGCATGGAAAAAAATTGCCAAGCATCAAGGAAGTCACTGTGCTGTCAGTTAATGCAGACGCTGGTGGGAGATTAGAGAGACCAGCTGCAGGTTTTCTATTGCCCAGCTCCTTTTAGCTTGGGAACAAGAAGAGGTCTGTTGTGATGAGGTGACCCATTCTGCAGTCACATCAAGGGGCTGCAGCATCCACACCGTGCTGACCACCTTCATCCAGGGAGGGCAGGGCTGCCTGCACACCTCATCCCATGGGGCTGATGCTCTCAGCATCCCCAGCTCTGCCCCTACCTGCAGCAGGGCCACCTGCAACTGTCACCACGTAGGATTTTGCTTTCCTGGCAGGAGAAAACAGGAAGCCAAAGGCCTGCGAGGGCTGTGAACTTGCCTGTCATGTTCCCTGACAGCAGCAATATCTTTTGCTGTTTGTGTTTTTCTCAAACTGTCAGCACCCATCACAACCCTTGTTTAAACTCCTGATCCCGAAAGCTTCCCCGAGCCCTCTGCAGAAGGAACAGAAGCAGTGTACTGTGTGTCCCAGGGGTCAGATGCTGTCACAGAACCAAGAGCTGACACCATCAGGCTCTGCAGCTCCTTAAAACAGGCAGAGCCAAGCATGAGCCAAGACTGAGCCCCCGCTCCCTAGAAATGCCAAGCCCCACTGTGCTGAGCAGTGCTGCTCCCCTGCTTCCCCCGTTGCTGCTTTTGACCTGAGCAGCCCAGAGGAATTTTAGTCACGGTGCATTCCTAGCACAGCATCTGTTTTCTAGAGCAAAACGGGAACAGCTGCCAAGAAACAAATCTTCCCCCGACGCCTGGCACTTCTCATGGGTGGAATGAAACTTCTTGAAATCCCAAGAGAAAAACCACCAGATCTCAACTGCAGCAAAACCCATCCCCTCCAGGGAGGGGGCTCCGACAGGGACTAATGAACTCCATGATAGCATCCATACGGCACCGCTTTGAAAGGCGGAGGAAAAGAGGAGCTAAAGAAAGATCCCTTCCTTAGCTGAATGCTGCAGGAAGGAGTGCACTTTGGCTGAACCCCCAGCATCCACCTCCAGCTGCCCCGTGTCCTGCTACCTGCCCAGGCTTGCTGTGAGCAGCAGGATGAAGTCAGGTAGATGATGCTGATAGGGAACACAGAGAGCACACATGGCTCTTTGTGAAAGGGCTTTTGAGGTTTGGCAGAGCTCAGCAGGGCTGTGACACAGCCTGGTGCTACTGGAGTCGGAGGGGTGCACAGAACACGGCATTGGCTGTGTCTGACCTTGCAGAGCTGCCAGGGGAATGCAGCCCCTTCCCACAGAGGCTCATACCCCAGAATTACCTGGGTGTGGGACAGAGCTTGCAGCAGCACGCAGTGCCCATGGGTCGCTCCGCATTGCTGTGGCTCAGCTGGTTTCCAGTGAAAGATAAAAGCTGATGTAGGCAGTTTCTGGCTGCTGGGAGGAGAAGGAGCAGAGCTGCTCAGGGAGCTGATGCAGTCAGGGAGCTGCTCTCCAGGGAGCAGTCACAGTGCTGGCTCCAGGGAGGCAGCGAGGCCGTATGCATTTCCTCGCTCCCCCGACTGAGACTTGTCTCGAAAGCACCCACTGCAGTGCTCAGCAACCTCAGCCTGGTCTGACAGCACTAAGCCTGATGGATGTGCAGCTGCCCCTCCTTGGCGGACCGTTTTAGCCAGAGCTGCTCAAACAAACCCAAGCAGAAACAATACCAGCTGAAAGCTCCCACTGCAGCTCGCTCAGTCAGGGCACCGCTTCTCCACCCGTGAGGCTTTTCAGGCTGGAAGTTCACAGCTAGCACAGATGTAGCACTGCTCTGTTCAGTGACACCGGGTGAGCTCCAGTTTAGATGCATTTCAGTCTTTCCGTGAAGGTGATGTGAAGTTCACATTGCATCACACAGCACATCTGCGGTCACTGAGCCCCAGGAGGCTGCTGTGAGTGCTGCAGTGACAGAAGCTGCTGGCTGCAGCGAGGCATGGCAGCTCTTCAGCTCGTGGGTTGAACATGCAGGGAAAAAAAAGGGGGAAAAAACATCCGATACTTGAGAAAGCAAGAGATCGTTCGTGATCCAGGATCTCAGGTCAGGTCTGCAGAGCAAGGGAGCCTCAGCAAGACCAGACTGCAGCTTCCCCTTCCGCTTCTTGGCTAGACCAGGCCGTTCTGTTACAGCAGCACAGGAAACGTCCACTGCCGCAAACACCATCTGCTGAGGAGGAGGAAGGTTTCACACTGCGTCGCTCTTTTATCTCGCTGGAGGTTCTGCACAGAGCTGGCTGAAGTTGGAAGAGTAAAGGAGACCCCTGGGGGAGCTCACCCAGTGCTGCCTGGGGCGGTGCTGAGCTGCCTGGAGGAGGAATGTGGGGAGGGAGGACAGGGCACCAACAGCAGGTTGGGGCCAGCAGCTCAAGGAAACACCACGGGCATCCTCACTGCAGGACCTGCACATAGGTACAGGAGTGACAGCAGCAAGGTCAGCTCCTGAAACCCCCCAGTGGGCAATGGGGCCTCTCTGCAATAGCATCTTCTTGTAGATCAGCACCAGACCAAGTGGCTGAAGCAGGAACACAATTGTTAGGAAGCCACACAGGCTGTGTTTGCCAGCCAGTGACCAGCAGTGACACCCTGGGGTGGTATATACCCTGCAGGGTCTGAGCAGGATTGGACAGGAGCAGAGCACTTGGGATCAGGCAGCAATGAGCCCTGAGGGGGGCTGGTGGCCAGCTGAGACCTGAGACATCAGGTTATTGGGGAACATTGTCCTTCTCTGCTGATGTTACTCTCT